TAATCGGGAATGGTTGGAAAACGTTTAGTTTTAGGGGTGAAACTTGCGTTACCGCATTATCATCCTCACAAGTTCTCCATACGTTTTCATCGTAATTATCTTCTATTTCTTTAATGCCCAAGCTTTGTTATTTCTTCTTATCAAACAGAAATGTTCTTTGTGTAAATAAAAAACCCAATCTAATTCTTCGGTTACTTTCTTTGGTTGAAATGTCTATGTTTGGGCATATAAATTTGAAAATAAGTATTAAATTTCTTATTGAATTCGCAGATTCTAGCAGTTGTCATAACTCCTTTTCTGTTTGATTTTGAAAAAGTGTTTATGAAATCTTGAAATTCTCTCATGTCTTCGTTTAAAACACGATTAACGCACTTTACAAAGCAGCATCCATCGCTCGGTATATAACAATTTATACCGATATATTCTTTTATCTTTTTGAGTAGGCTAACACCACTACCCTTTTTTGATCTTTTTATTTCTTTGAAATTGTTTTTATGGAAAATCATTTTTCCTGTGAAATACCAATCGGAGGCATCCGATTTTTCATCCACTGCAGCGAAGAAATTGACAAAAGTTTTGGTATTAAAACCTACAAATTTCATGTCTTGTTTGTATTTTCCATCTTGAGTTATCTCTCCAACTATTTCAATTTGCCCTTTAAATGTTATAAATTCATCAGAGATAAGGTCAATAACATCGGAAAAAAGTTCATTTGATATGAATTTATCAATTTTTTTCATATTTTTTAATTCATCAGAGATAATCTTGTCAATAATATCGTCTAAAATTTTATTCATATTTTTAAAGCAACTATTTTTAACTAGGAATTTTTAACTTTTATTGATGATATTTCTACATCAAATTTATCTAAAATTTCATTGAATTTTTCTAATTCTTCAATGGTTATGATCTTATCCTCTCTCGATCTTTCGAAAAAAAAGAATAATTTATTAAGATATGTATTTAAAATTTTTGTTTTCCTTTTATAATGAGCTTTCTGTTTTGATGTAAAACCTACAGTAATCAAACCACAAGATGAAGTTTGAACGGCAGTGAACGCGGCTAATACAGTTGAGACGATTATTGGAAGCATTAATCCACCGGTTACGGCTGTTGCCACCGTTATCCCTATTGTTAAAACTGTACTTAATGTTTTGAAAACAGAATCGATTCTACTCCATGTTTTTCTGCATTTGTTGAATTGTTTTAGTTTTTCTTTTAGTTCGTTTTGTTTTTCTATCATGTAGTTTTGTCTTTCGAGTTCCATTTTTAGGTAATTAAATTAAGTGAACTTCTGATAAAGCTACTTTACTAAAAACTTTTACAGTTACTAATGATATTTGTTCTTTCGAATCATTAATCTTATTCAGATGAACTGAAAATTTTGGTTTTTCAATATAGATTATTATATTAACATATGCATCATCTCTTATTAAAAAATTTTGATTGTTGTTGACTTTTATGAATATCGATTGAGGTAAATATATCATTATCAACAAAATATAGTTTTACGTATTCAAAGTCTGTTGCTCGTAAAAACTGATAATTGATTATTTCTTTTTGTGGTTTTGGATTTCTAATAATACTTGCTGATGGTGGAGTTTCCGTTTCCAATAACATATCAAAATTATTCAATGAAAGACCATCTTCTTCATTATCTGGTATGATTAACATTCTAAATCTATCTATATATTTTCCACTTGTTTTAATTTCATATAAGTGACCATGCTTGCTGTTTTCGTCGTTAATTTCTAATTCTTTTGTTTCTACATTTTTTGTACCATTGATAAACTGAAGAACTTTGCGAGTGTTAAATTTCTTAGACATATGTGAGTTTTGTCTGAAGAATATTGAATCAACTTTTACCTGAAAAGGAAAATTAATTTCAATTATAAGTTTTTCTCCAAAAAAAAAATCTGATAGATGATCGCTCTTAAATATATCATAGGGGTGGATAAAATTTGAAGGAGAAAATACTCTTATATTTAGTTTAAATCCATATTTTTTATATTCATAGTCTTTTGATTTATCAATATTATCAGTAATAGAAGCATCATCATAACTCAAATTTCCAAATGGAAGATTGAAATAATATGATTTATTTTCTTGCTTGAGTTGCTTTTCTAATGCGAGTATATTTTTATCCTGTTTTAAAACTAGGTTATTGATAGTGATTATCTGTTGTTGAATAACACTATCATCAATATTTTGTATTTGTTGATGAATATTTGTTAGTTCTTTTTGTAATTCACTGTTAAGTTTAGTTTCCAGAGCATTTAATTCCTGTTGAAACGTATCTTCATTTTCATCTGGAATGTTATCTATTAATTGTTGAATGTCTAATTTTTGTTTTGCAATCTTATCCTCTAATTTAGATATTAATGAAATTAAATTTTGTAACTCAGTTTTATTCGCTACTTTGGCCAATTGTTCTTCTATAAAACTTTTCAAACTTGTTACTTCTTGTTGTAATTTAGTATCATCAATAAAATCTTTATTATTTATTAGTCGTTTGAAGTATCTTTACACATTACTTATTCTTTCTTTTAAATGGTCTTTATTTACTTCAATTAAATTTAATTGTTCCATTAAATATTTCTTGTGAATGGCATCATTATCGTTTTCCGGAGACTTTAAATTAGTTATGCTAAAATTGTTCATATCTAAATCACCTTGAAGAGTGTCTCCGATTTGATCCAGGAAGTAAGGTTTTGCTTTATTTATCCATGCTGTAGTGTTAGGTTTTTTAGTTTCTAAAGATAAAGAACCTAATCCAAACTTATTCGCCATTGTTATTGAGTTAAATTTATTACAATTTCTTCAAACTGTTTTCCTAAACTCAACTGATATAAAACCCAAAGTGAAAGCTGACCACAAAACTTTTGTCCCGGTAATTGAATTTGAAATGTTGAACATTTGATTGGTTTATTAGTCAATTGGATTATCTCTTCGGTGGGTTCTAATCCATAAGAATCGAAGAAATAAAAGTCAGAGTCTTTGTACAAAGCAGAATGATGAACTCCTTTTTGATCGGAAGTATGTATATTTGTTATAGCGTAAAATTTACCTTTCTTATATTTGAGATCATTTATTTCATCTCTCATACAATAATAAAACGGTGATATATTTAACTCATTCGTCCATCTCATAAGTTGAAAGTTTGTGGTTGTATCGGTTCCATATTTATCGAGAAAATCATTCATTTTTAAAAGTCGGTTTTTTGAAGTTCGTTTCGATAAAATCTACCTATGATTTGTTCTTTGTCTTGATCGATTAATTCATATGTCGGAGGTGACTTTAAATTTGGGTTTGATATTTAAATTCTTTATTTCATTTTCGTCGTTATGTTGCGCGTTAATTGACTTTATGATATTTGGATTACTCGAGGCTTGTGTTGGTGTGACACCTATAGATGAATGAATTTTGTTATTGTATTCAGCTACAACCTCTGGTAATATTTTAAGCCATTTTCAATTCAGTGAATTTTTTGAATAATTTATTTTTTAGAGTCCTGTTGAATCTTTCAATAACTACAGCTTTACCGTCGTTATGCGTACTGTAAATTTCAAATCCCAGAGATTTCATATTTTTGTTATAAAATTCACTTCCTTTATCTACCCATAGTTTTTCTGGATGACGGTTAGATTGTCTCATAATCGTTTCAAATGAGTGTTTGACTGATAATCCCGTTTTGTTTTTCAAAGGAATAACCCATACATATCTCGTATATAAATCTATAACTGTTAAGCAATATTTAAATCCTCTTTCGACTGGCATATGAATTAAATCGGCTGACCATATTTCATCTTTTTCAAACACTTTTACTTTTAAAAAGTTTTTAGTTTTTCTAAATTCTTTATGAATTTCATCCGCCAATCCCTTACCTAATTTCATCTTTGCTTTTAACAGTTTAATGATTAATGCTCTTTGCATTCTCTCTTTGAAAGTTGGATTTGGAATATTTTCAAGTTCTATTATCATTTGTTTGTCTGCTTCGTGTCTAAACTTTATGTCTTTGTTTCTGTATAAAATATCATGTTTAAGCGCAGCGCCGTCAACTCTATTGACTGGTTCTTCCCCTGGTTTGGGTTTATCGTTTTCGTCTAATCGCAGATCTAACCTAGTGCCTGGACCTGTATAATTGTGCCCTGGGAGATGTTTTTCTCCGGGATATTTCGCCCAGGGAAATCCAGGAAGAGAACCCAATGATTTTTGTATATCTCCTGAACCGAAATAAGTTTTTGGAGCGTGAGCGACTATCATTTTTTATCCTAAAACTTTAAAACCTTTTCCTTTCCTTTCTTCTAATCTCCTGTTTCGAAGTTCTCTTATTAGTTCTAATTCTTTCAACTCGTTAGATTGTTTCACTGTGTCGCTTATACTCTTTCCCGCTTCAGCGATTGAGCCGACGGCTTTCGCTCCGGTTGAAATGAGTGATTTGTTTTTTTAAACAAAGCTAGCTACTTTTGGAATTATTGTTTTACCTAGAGAAAATAATGAAGAAAAGATACCGTCGCCCGAATAATCTTCGAATCTGTGTTGTTCGTGTTTTAGAATTAAACTCATCCTATTTTCAAATGAGTTAATTTAGTCTGTTTTTATCCAAAAAAAAGTTATCTCCCTTCTACATTACTTAAAACGCGGCTATTAAAAATGTTATGTTATTTTATATAAGGGTATTTTTAATATGCTTTATTTGGTGTAACGGTGTTTAGGTTTAAGAATTTATAGGGAGTTTAGGTCTTTTTTAGTGTAAGAATTTATGAAATGTAGGATGTTTTGCTGTAAGAATTTATGAAATGTAGGGAATTTAGGTGTAAGAATTTATGAAATGAAGGGAGTTTAGGTCTTTTGGGAGCTTATATATTGGTTGCATTTTCCCCATGAAATGAAATGGAATGGGGAATCCCCCTATGCGACCAATCTATAAGCTCATATTATCTTTTTGGAAGGTTTATATATTGGTCGCATTTTCCCCATGAAATGAAATGGAATGGGGATTCCCCCTATGCGACCAATCTATAAGCTCATATACTCTTTTTGGGAGTTTATATATTGGTCGCATTTTCCCCATGAAATGAACATTATGCCATTTTACCGAAACCAATTTTCAAAAAAACTGCTAACGTATTAACAATATTCTTGCCGATTTAGTCAAAACTAGTTATCTCAAACAGAAACAATATGACTATCTGTCTGCCAAACCTTATAGTCGCGAGAGACATTTGTACACTTTGCCTAAAATCCATAAGAATCCAACTAAGGAGTGGTTTATCTCGAATAAAATCCCTAAAGGCCGCCCGATTATATCTGACTGTGGTAGTGAGTCATATGCAGTGTCAGAATACATTGATCATTTCTTACTACCTCTAGCATGTCAACATCGCGCCTACCTTAAAGACACAACCGATTTTGTCAATAAAATAAAAAATCTTCGAGTTCCCTCTAATGCTATTTTAATTTCTATCGACGTTTCTTCCATGTATACCAATATCGATAACTCTACTGGTTTAACGGCAGTTCCTAAAGCTTTTAATAGAAACCCAGATCCAAACAGACCCGACGATGAAATTCTACAGCTTTTAGAGATTTGTCTTAGTCGAAACGATTTCACATTTAATGGTAAAACATATTTACAAACTTCAGGGACAGCAATGGGCAAACAATTCGCCCCTTCGTACGCAAACCTTTTCATGGCAGAGTGGGAACGTGAGGTGTTGCCCCTCTGTCCATTTGACCCACTTTTTTACGGACGCTTTTTGGATGACATCTTTATGGTTTGGACTTATTCTATCGAACAGTTTTGGGAATTCTTTGAAATTCTCAACAACCACCATCCGTCTATCAAACTAACCGCAAACGTGAGTGACAAAAGCATACCACAGTCTTTAAGGGAGATTCCATAGCAGAAACAAATAAACTGGATATTAAAGTGTATTTCAAAGAAACTGATACTCATCAACTCTTGCACAAGAGCTCCTTTCACCCAAAACATACCTTTTCTGGTATAATTAAGTCACAAGTTTTACGATTTCATCGAATTTGTACAAGATCTTCTGATTTCAACCAAGCCTGTACGATTGTTTTCTCAAAACTGAAAGAGCGTGGGTACTCCAAACGATTTTTACGAAACATAAAAAATTCCACCTTAGCACAGATAGCAGCTAAAAACAGACTTTATGCCGAAGTACCTCCAGGTTAAAGAAATGCTCCATGTTTGTCCAGTAGATGCAAAACATGTCCCTTTATATCAGAAACTCATTATTTTGTAAGCAACTCTACGAATAAAAGGTACCCGATCCAGGAACATCTAACATGTGAACATTCGAATGTAATATATTTAATTTAATGCAAGAAATGCCCCAAACAATATGTAGGAGAAACTAAGAATAATTTACGAACTCGCTTTAATGCTCATAGGTCAGACATCAAATTAAAGAAAGACAAGCCTGTTTCTAATCATTTCAACCTCGACGACCATTCAATAGACGATCTCGCCCTAATCCCAATTGAGCGTATAGAAATTGGCTTGCCCGAAGATGAAACTACCAAATTCCGTCAATCTAGGGAAGCCCATTGGATTGAGACATTGAATACAGCAAGACCTATAGGACTAAATATTCATCATAATGTAGGCATAGCACCCTTTGTTGTCCTGTTTAATACAACCAGCAATCGAGCAAGCAAGATAGTTCATGCCCACTATAAGAGCCTTCAAGAGAAATTCCCCCATGTCTATAAGCAGAAAATGATAGTTGCATATTCAAAAAATAAGAACTTAAATGATAATATTGTTCATAGTAAACTAAAAACAATCAGCACATAACAGATACTATACTTCTCGCCCATGGGGTTATATGGAGTTATTTTTTCTAATTTCTGATCAGAATAAGAACAGAAGAAAACCCAATATCAAGACCCTTAATCCTAATTTCTAAATAAAGTGTCTGCTCCACCCTAGGCCTGTACATTTGGGAGAATCAAACCCTCCCTTCCCCGAAATCTAAAATCGTTTATCCAATTATTACCAAATTCGAACTTGACCGAAATTTCATCAATATGTTTAAGAGTGCAATTAAATTGGTTTTAATTTAATAGTAATTAGTTGTATTCAGTTCACAGTAATAACTAATAATTACACTTCACTGCTTTCCTATCTCTTCTCTCTTTCTGAGTTTTATTCATCCTAACCTTTAACCTTGTCCTTTCTAGGCTATTGTAATGACCATTTGAGTTGTTTTCACTCTCACCTGTATGGTCATTCTGTTTGGATAATTTAGGATATGTTCAGGTATTTTGAATTCTAGTATTTTATATATTTGTTAATACTGGTTACCAAGGTGTTGGCCATATTGAATTAAGGAATAGCTTCAAGTTTAGCACATATTTCTGCAGTCAATTCATTCATATAATTCTTACATAAAATTTATACAATTCTAATTTTCTCCCTGACTGGCAGCAAGACCAGCAAGAGTTAGAAGTTGCCATATTCCTGAAATTGTTTCGAAGTAGTAGGGAGATGTTATTAGGTCAAGCCTTGGGCCCAGAGGACGTCGTGCATGCTTGCTTGCTGGCTATCTCCTCAGTAAAAACGTTTATAAAACGTCACTAATGTTTGGACAACATTTAAAAACGTTTGTTCGAAAACTTTTTGTGTTTACTGGGTCCTAAATGATTTAAACTGTAAAAGAACACCCGAGCTCCAGTGTGACTAATATCTCGACTTTTCATGATGTAAAATCAACGAAAAGTTACACCGCCAATATAGCAGCGAAGCTGAAAATTGTCGCAAACGTTCCACCAAGATTAAGATTAATAATTTAGAAAAAATAAAAGCGTACAAGTACATCTAACAATTATCTGTAAATATTGTACAAGAGTTCAGGATATAAACTGCCTAATCAGGGCAACTAGCTTGACCGTCTCGCTTTATATTTGGAATTAAGACCAACAGTTCTTTTACCAACAAGACTATTTTATTTCACAAAACCAGAATTTTTTCATTCGTGTTGCCCCGTGTCCATATTGAGTTGAATTCAGTTGGTGTAATGTAAAAATTCTAATAATCGAATGTGGAATTCAGTTGGTGTAATGTAGAAATTCTGATGATCGAATGTGGAATTCAGTTGGTGTAATGTAGAAATTCAGTTGGTGTAATTTAGAAATTCAGTTGGTTTTATGTAAAAAATTCAGTTGGTAAAATGTTGGTGGACGTTTTATCCACAACGTACAGGGCCGAAAATATTTGGCCACTCATTACAATAGGATGGTTTAGCGTTTCCACTACTTCCATAGCACTGACATCGATACGCCTTGACATTAAAACATTCTGTAGCTACTCTCTCTACACAGTTTCCACCAGTACGCTCCATACACTTACAGCATTCGTTGCAGCCCAACCACAACCCACCAGTTGCAAAGTTGCTCCATTCAGTACATCTTGACCACGTATCGAAACAATTGGCCGCAAAAACTTCCCCAAAAGGCAGGATGACGCAGATCGCAGCCAACAAGCAAAACAATTTCAACATCTTTAGCACACAGTTTAATCAGAATAGCCTTCTAGTTAATACGTAGGCCTATATACAAGTTGTTTTTTCTTCTGTGCAGATAAGGTGATTGATAAGACGGGGACCAAGATTGATAATCTATTTGTGGTTGATACCAATCTTATATCTGGTAAATCTTTAGAATGTCAGCAGTGCCCACCATGGCTTTGTCCGAAACCTTCACCTCTATTCTGATAGATATTTTGAGAGTTATCGACTGGAGAAGAGAACAACTAGGCCCTGTTTTGGGGGATTTTCCACTTTTCCAAAGATACATAATATAGAATTACCTTTACGACGACTGAATTAGTGTTGGGTATCACAGTAATTTTCGTTTTGTAATGATCTCTGTGATCCCTGAAATTTGCTGGGCACGCAATTTTGAATATCCGACGAGAGATCAGTTTAGTTACAAAAACACTTTGATGGAACCGTAGACGTGACATAAATTGTGGAGGGAAAGTATGATGGTATGAATAAACTTCACAAATATCCATCTTTCCGAAAATATCTGGGTTTGACGGATTGGGTTTAAATATATAGGATTAAAACCCCCGCACCTTCAGAGGTGCAGTCCACAAAACAGGGTATAGTTTCTCTGTCTCTACACCAGCCGACAAATAGAGAAGTTTAGAGACAGATGTTTCGGTCAAACCGTGGCTAAGCAAAAACAAAATATTGAGTCGAGGTGATTCAGAATGGCCATTCTGGGTAAATATATAGTAAAGTCAAATAGAATAATGACGTAGGTAACACTTTTAGATTACCACCCTGCTATTTCAAGGGTTACATATCGTCTGACCCGTATACCTTTTGATAAGTTAAGATAGTAGAGTTAATGTCTACAATAAGCATAATATCTCACCACGAATTGATACATTTTCATTTCGCGTTCAATGTACCTCATCTCTTTAATAAAACAGTTTTCTTTAAGGGGAATTTTTTAAAATACAATCATGGGAAAAAGATTTCGATCGACACACGTATTTCTGTTGTTTTTTTTTCGGTCGGTCTAGCATGGGTACTATGGGTACATAATAAGTCATCTTCTCTTCTCTACTTGTCTACAAGACAATAATAATTCATGGGCAATAACTCCAAAATCGTTTATCCAATTATAACCAAATTCGAACTTGACCGAAATTTCATCAATATGCTGAAGTGTGCAATTAAATTGGTCTTAATTTAATAGTAATTAGTTGTATTCAGTTCACAGTAATAACTAATAATTACACTTCACTGCTTTCCTATCTCTTCTCTCTTTCTGAGTTTTATTCATCCTAACCTTTAACCTTGTCCTTTCTGGGCTATTGTAATGACCATTTGAGTTGTTTTCACACTCACCTGTATGGTCATGTGCTTGGATAATTTAGGATATGTTCAGGTATTTTGAATTCTAGTATTATATATATTTGTTTATACTGGTTACCAAGGTGTCGGCCATGTTGAATTAAGGAATAGCTTCAAGTTTAGCACATATTTCTGCAGTCAATTCATTCATATAATTCTTACATAAAATTTATACAATTCTAAATCACATAAGCATTATCTTACATTCATACATTATTTTATTACAGATTCCCTTTATAACCCTTTGATAGTAAGGTACTTCACCTTTACACAGGCAATAATTTAAACACCTAGTCTAAAGAAAACACACAATATTAAATTATTAAGCTAACTCTTTAACTATAGCTTTGTCTTTTTTTCTATATTTTCAGTTGTAAAAGAAAAGAAGAGTACAATGACTTCCTGGAGTTTACTCAAACTGAGCCGTTGAAAATCATCAAACATTGTGCTACTAGATGGTTATCTTTGGAGAAAGTAATTAAAAGAACTATTCAGCAATGGGCAGCCTTATCCTCGTATTTCAATAGCCATGAAGATGTTGATCAGCCAGGAAGAGTGCAGAGATAGCTCAAAACCTGACCCAACATAGAGATGCAAGTTTATGTTTTGTTTTTGGAGTTTATTCTACCACACCTGAACCAGTTCAACACCATGTTTCAAGCAAGTGCCATTTCATTGTTTCATGTTTTCAGGATATTTCAAAGATACATGATCTTTATTGTGTTAGTATTTTTCTCTGGCTCCATCAATTCAAGGTCATCCAAATTTTAATTTACTGAAATAAGCTTTATAAATTGATTTCATTTCAGTCTGGAAGTTGTTTAATTGTCGATATGGTGGGACAGATGAAAACTTTGTTAAAGACGTTTTTGGGAAATTTTTTAAAGATTGCTTCAATAAAATCAGCAGAAGATGTCACTCAAGTTGATTATACCAATAAAGATAATTACCTGCCAGTCGATTTTATAGCTATAGGAATGAAGGCCAGAACTGTTTTAGCTGATAATCAGGATAATCTTGAACCATCAACACTACACAGAATTTACAGGTAACATCTGATTTTCTTTTGAAGTGGATATCATTGTAATATTCATTTTGATAGACCTGAGTTGACATTTATTTTGAATGGCATTTTTGGAATTATTTTTACAGTGTAATGTTTTAATATTTTATAGCTCCATAAGAGAATGTTATGCTACTAATGGTCAAGAATATGGTCCGATTTGACAATGAATTGCTAAATGGCATTTCATTTGTACACCCTGGGGAGAAGCCTCTTCATTTGAAAATGGTAAGAATTCATTTATTTATTATTCATAAAAATCCATTCATTTGCTTAAAAGTCTATTAGTAACACTGGTATGGCATTAAATTTATTATTATTTTCAGTGTATTTTAATCTTTTTCTTTTTATTTTTTCAGTGGCCAAGATTAATAAGAAATTCAATATTGTGCACAATATTGATCAGCTACAAGAGGAATTTGTAAATTTTCAACTGACAGACAATGAAGATATGCCACTTTTTGAAATTAGATCAATTTTGGGCCAAGATGAGTGAAAAGATTTCTGTCACTGGTGTTCATCTATATCCACTTTTATCCAGGCTATGTTTAACCATTCTGTCACTTCCCTACAGCAATGCAGGTGTTGAAAGGTCATTTTCCGTTCTCAGAAAGGTTGAGCAGGAGAATAGGGGGAATTTAGCTCACCATACTGTAACATCTTTAATAAAACTTGGACAGTATTATATTTATTTATATTAATGTATATATTTTTATTGTTATGTATATATTTTTGTTAATTTTTACTGTGCCATGCAAATAAGAAATAATTAATAACGCTGAAGTCTTAGCAAAAAAAAAAGCAATTTTGAGCTTAAAATTCTCGAATTTAAGTGCTTTGAAAAAATCTTTTCACTCAATCTCCAGATTTTTCAAGGCAAATCTCCAGATTTTTTTTCCTAAGAGTAAGCTTTATTTGTATTGCTATTTAATTATTTCAATTAGTATTAGTTTTGTACAGCATAGAGTAGGTTTTCGTGCTGCCAGTTACTGTTACTCGAACTGTATATTTTATACAGCTTGTAAGTTATTTGTGTATTATAAGGTTCCTATATGATATATCTTGTATTGCATTTTTAGGACCTGTTTGTAACTATTCTCATTTTGTACTTTCGTGGTTTTAACACCTATCACCTCCCCTGACAACAAATCCATAAATGAATACTAAGTTTCATCAAGATCAGATAAAAACCTCTATTGGATGGACACTTCCACGTAAAAAGTGCTAGCTACAATTTCCATTTCATTTCCAGTTCTCAAAAATTCTGCTTTAAAGTAACTATATAAGATATATTTTATTGTGTTAAATATAGATTTATTTTGACAAGTACAGATGATAATATTCTAGACAATCTATAAAACACTAAATACTGTAAGCATATTTTTTTCTAAATTTTTCTTAAGTTTTCATGTGTATCGGGGACACTCATAGCATCAATTTGCACATTCCAATATTCAACCATTTTTTATGTGTATCAGGGACAATTTTCACCATTTCAATTTTCATTGGTCTGTGGTTCTTGCAATGCCACTAAAACTATCAGTGTCACAGACACACATAAAAAATTTAGAAAACCTCTTTACTTTATAATCCCTTTAACTTATTTATAGATTAAGCATATCATTGCATAACCTGACACTCATTGTTCTTGGATAGATTAATTATCATAAATGACTATCATTGTCACCTTAGACTAGCAAAGAAAGTAACCTCTATTAATAACAAGTATAAGTTCCCAAGGATCCTTTCTGCCAGCTGGATCTTGGCTAATCCTCTTGGCATAGATCTTTCTCGGATTATCTATACCCATTTGCAGTGGGGTCGACTGGAATAATGAGGAAAGATTAATTATTCAAGGTCATCCAACTTTTACACGACCATCGAGATAAGAACCCACAACCACTATTGTAGCAGATTTTGTATTTTGTACTGTATGTTTAAAATAACTTCCTAAATCATTATCATGATGTCTTTTTTGCTTTTTCTGTTTCATCCCAGATTGTTGTTCCATCACATGTACAGATTTTCTTAGAATTTTCAAAAATGCCAGCAGATCTAGCGATAATTCCACATGATAGTCTGAAAAAAAAAAAAAAACAATCAGATTTTACATGGATGATATGGAAAGGAAATTAGAAACAACAAATCTGGTAGTCAAAAAATTTGACTCTTACCAGCCTTTGATAGATATTTTTGATGACTCTGCAATTACTGTAGAGTTAGTTACATTTGGCACCATTTAGTGGGTATTATTTGCATATTGGGAGGTTATGGGTAAACTCTTTCAACCTTAGCAAGTAAAGCACTTTAAAGGGACATTCCTCTTTTTTTTTGTAGGTCGAAAATTTTTTTGGCTCATATTTTTGAAAACTATACGCCGAAATCTAGAGAAATGTACATGAAAGTTTTTAGAGTAAAATAAACGCCTAATTGTAGAGAAATTCAACTAATAATATCAAGCTATTATAAAGCTAAACACCAAAACTAGTTTAAAATGCTTAATTAATAAATAGTGCTCTCCGTTTTTAATTAACCCTTTTAAAACAAATTAGTTTGATCAAGTAGATACATAGATACAAATAGCATATTTAAGAAATATTTTCAGGTAAAATTTACAACCTTTTATATCATAAAAAAAGGCGGAATGTCACTTTAAGTTATAATTCATAGTTCAGGGTATATGGCGCATGTTGTTTTGTCATTAACACTCGGTTAAGCCACTTTATTTCTTATCAGAAGGTCTGTATTATTTGCTGAAACAGCTGATGAGAAAGACAGAAAGAAACATATTTAGCAAAGATACCAACAACAAAATTTAACTATCAGCTGGTCATTGGAAATGCTTTAACTTTCAGTCGGCATTTTCAGGGATTGATTTGGGTCTTGAATGTCCTGTAATAGTTTTAAGAAGTACTAAAACACACGGAAATCGCATAATCCCTTCAAATATACCTCAAACTAGAAATTTCACTGTCTATTCCTATATATGTGTTTTCTATATATGGCATAGTCTCACTCAAATTTTTAACCTTCTAACGTGAATAATTATGGATACACATGGATTTGCAGGCTCAAATTTCGACAATGTGCTGTGAACACTATTACTGATTATGTAAGCTAAAATAATTTCTGAAACTAAGGTATGATTGGTTGAACGGACAGTGAGAGTGCTCCTTAAATGATCAAGAAAATGACGGCACATTTCAATTTAACTGCATGGATCTGAATTCTGAAGAGTGATACAAATTGCTCAATTGAGTTTTATTATTTGGTAAAGCACATAATCCTTTTATAAAAGCTTATGCCAAGCTTATATCAATCACTATAAACAAAACTGAAAAGTTTACCTTTTATCTGTATCTGTATCTAAAAAATATTTTCCTTGGTGTACAACCAATGACCGACCAATTATATCCCATACTTTAACATCTTTATTTTCTATTCTAAATTCCCCTCGACCTAATTCACCAACTTTAAGTTCTGTTACTATACCTTCCACCTAGTGATGACATAAATAGTATACATTTACAATAACGCTAAAGTATCTTAAAGGGAGAGATGTGCCATTTTGACGATTGATTTGAGTCTTGAATATATGTAAATATTCTTCAGAAGTACTAGAAGTACACCAAAATCGCATAACAACTCGTCTTCTTAACGTTCAAAATGGATAGTTCTGGACACACATTTCAACAGTGAACTGTGAACTGATTGACTTAATTCAAATATTCCTGTTTCTGAGACTAAGGTATGAGTATGAAATGGCGCATTTGTCCCTTTAATACAATAAATTACTAGAAAAATACCAAATATTTTGATGATGTGTCAATGCCATTAAAGAAAGAAACAACCATTTTTATGATTACTAGGTTAACAACTTAGGTTCACAAGGACCTTTGCTATAAGCTGGTCATAGGCTGAATCTTCATCTAAACCCAAATTATCCATACCTATTTACAACTAGTTCAACTGGAATAATGAGGCAGACTTTTACAGGCTGACCAAGACAAGAACCCACAACCACCCTTTGTTCAAATTAGATCATGTAAATTTTCAAATGCCCTAACGGACTATGCTACAGAACCCCTGGATATACCATGAAAACATAAGCCGAGTTTCATAGTTTTTCAATTCAAACATTTTAACTAACTTTTTCCTTTAATCCCAAATTACCAAATACAGGTCCACAACTGAAAAATTAATGAAAATTCAATTAAGCCAATTTCATATAGTTGCAGATTAAAGATAGTCATTAGAAGATGGAATGGAATTCAATTAAAGTATATCCTATTGAGAAGTTATTTTACTATTCTCTATCTGATTATTCAGTGCATTTTTAAAAGAAGTTTTAGTCTTGTTTAATTTTTATCACTAAAGTTTATTGGTTGATGATTTAGTTTTAAATGTCATATTTTCACTTCCTTGAGTGGCATTTAGTAATTGATGATATTAACACGAACACAATTATATGGATAACAATTACTTTAATAAATAACTTGCGACGTTTCGACGATGATTCTTTCGTCTTTATCAAGCAATGATGTCTTTTTACTGCCTCATCTCCATATTGATGTCTAATAACTTCCTTGAGTGGCATTTAGTAATTGATGATGTTAACACGAACACAATTATATGGATAACAATTACTTTAATAAATAACTTACGACGTTTCGACGATGATTCTTTCGTCTTTATCAAGCAAGTTATTTATTAAAGTAATTGTTATCCATATAATTGTGTTCGTGTCATATTTTCAATAGCTATCATTTACAAAATGTGCGAAACATGGATAAATGCAAAATGCAAATATTGTTTACAGCTCATATATTGTGTGTATGTATCCAGTATTCCAATGTTCAGAAGAAAATGCAGTAAATGAAAAATTTTGTCACAACTGATTTATCATCACTCCCTAGAAAAATTATAATCATTCCAAAAAAGTTGCCATGACAACTATCTATCAAAAACACTGCACTGCCATGCTGACAAAGAGATTAAAGGGACATTCCACTTTTTGGTAGGCCAAAAAAATATTTTTTCTAGAGAAATGTGTCCTTTAGCCCTTTATTTTTTTTAAAGCCAAAACTATTCAAAAAGTTTTCTTAAACTTTTTATGTTTCCTTATGATTTTTGGAAGCTTGTACCAATTTAAGTAAAATTAACGCCTCATTGTAGAGAAATATTTCTCCTACTTATGCTACAGGTTTTAACTAATAATATCGAGCCATTGTGAAGCCTAATACCAAAACTAAGTCAAACTGCTTAACTAACAATTAGTTCTCTTCGTTTAAAAATAAACCCTTTTAAAACAAATTCAGTTTGATCAAGTAGATACATAGATATAAATTACATATTTTAGAAATATTTTCAGGTATAATTTGTAATATTTTTGATAAAGAAAATGTTTTTCTCCAGAAATTGATGTGTATGAGCTATGAAAGTAAATTCAGTGAACAGGAATTTTTACTTTGAACTCATATGCAGTCAACATGTTTTGGATAAATAGTTTTTATCAGGACAACTAATTTGGCAGTGACATTTAAATTGCCACGTAGTAGTGACAAAATACTGGAACAAGTGTTAGCTTTCAAGGACTTTTTTTGCTGTTGTTACATGTGCAGCTGGTATCCTTACCTTTTACACCCAAGAGAAATATCACCATATTGATGTATACAGACACTATGATGACCTTCAGGTAAACCATCAATAGTACCTTCTATAATACATTTATTTTGATCAGATTGTATAAACCTAACTACACCTTTAATCAGACTATTACCAGCTTCTAATATCACTACAGCTGCTCCTAAATGACTTTTAGCTAAAAATGAAAGAAAATTCCATTTCAATAGTGTTAAAATTTGATAACATACAGTCTTTTTATTGAAGCAAATCATATCAACTCGCTTTGACGGACAATTATCAGCATGTGGTATAAATCAACAACAATCTTCATAACCGAGTTGCATGTTTACTTGTTTTTTCCCAATAACCCAAACAAAAATAGGAATTTTACTCACTATTTCTATATGTCTTTTATCACAGAGTATCTTAAATTAACGAGTCGTCATTTACACGTTATTAAAAAAATTCCAGTTTCTGAGACTAAAGCATGATTGGTCGATTGGCCTACCTGTCCCTTTAAGCCTCAGACAATATAATCCACTATTAAAATCTACAATGTAGATGTAAAATACTTACTATCTCCTGCACTCTGTCCAGTTAAAGCAACTTTTTTCCCTGTTTTCTCTAATAGTGCTTGAATATGTGAGGATGGTAAGGTGGTTTCTACTATAACCTGTTCTTGATCACGATTAATTGTTACATTATTTATTCCTGAAAATAAAGATAGCTCTGCTGTAGTGCTGGCACTATTATAATGGTCAAACTGCATTAAGTGTTTACAGGTTTCACCATGCCAAGCCCTTAGTGCAATATTGAAAACCTATAGACACGTGTGCGGTTTGACTTTTATCATATACAATTTTGTTTACTGTTTTGATTGGAGTACTAACTATAAAGTACCACATCCATTGCAACAAATAATTCATAGTCTTGTAATAAATGGCTGAATCAAATACTTGTAATCAATATATCATATCGTGTGGTTGTGTATCAATGCTTGAGGATACCAGATATATTAGACAAACACATATACATTTATATGACTACCACAATCCAAATGCATGAAAAGTTCACTTGAGGTAACATTAAACCTATTGACAATAAAAATTTAATAGTAATAATACTAATAATAACTAATTCTACTCATCCCCTTACCTTCTACATTGTCCAGTGCCTTTTTAACTCTTTGTTCACAATCACCACATACCATCTGAACAGCAAATTCAATCTTGAAAAAAATAGCACATCAATTAAATTCAACAAAAACTTAAAAACTACATATGACAAAATCATACTCAGAATAAGTTTTTATCATGACAAGATTTTATGCGGAATGTTAAAGTCAGACTACTCAGTTTTGCCATTAGTTCGTGGAACTAGTAAATAATTTACATGTGGGCCACTTTGGGTGAATATTAGCAAGTTTTGATATAGATATAGAATAAATCTTGTTGTTTCAAGCATGGTCAATTCATTATTCATTTCTATCATAAAAAAATTGATGCATTTCAGTTAGAACCAAATACTGGTACAACACTTTTTATCGTCAAATTTCCTTATAAACAAAAAGCCTTAATAAAGTAAGTTAAAACTTTAATTGCCTATGTCTGATTATTGATTAAAAGTTTGTAATGATTATATAGTATTGTCATTTCATTTAAAAAGGAAAATCAAAATGATTTGTAGGCCTATTGGCAGTATTGGATTCATAAAGGCTAAGATTATACAGAGCCAAGGGAGATAACTCTCTTACATTGTTGTACTTAGAAGAAAAAAAAACCGCCATATTCCTACAGACAGATAAATCAATCCATGGCATTCAATTGTTATAAAATTTCCAATATTCAGAATCTTAAAAAATTCATTCAAATAAAAAATTATGGAAGCAACAACATTAAATGATACATTTAATCATAGAAATGATGAAGCGAATACCTTTGTGGGCGCGGCCATTTTGTATTTATTTTACTATATTAAAAAATTCAATGCTTCAGTCAAATACGGATACATCATGCTGGTACATCAGATATAGATTTATACAAATATGACACATAAATCTGGATTTCCCTTGATGCCTTCAAACATAATATGTGCGAAAATAGCCATCTAATTAGAGAATCGACACAATTTACAAAATTAATAAAATTTGTCAGTACCGTACTGGATAACTATAAAACAAGTTAAACAAATGTCACGTGAACACCTTGACCTTACCACAGTTTTAAATGGTGGCAAAGTTGATGTTTTTGTCCTAGTATTAGGGTTTTGGTGGTTTAAATTGGTGCATGGTAAGATTATTACCATGCCGAAGGTAAATATGATATTTTATTTTTCACGTGTGCTGTGCGGTGTTTTGATCGTTCAAAAGTCACTTAAGCTACAGGACTGGACATGGTTTTGCAGGTTTTGTCAGTCAATGCGTTAGTGTAGTGTCAACATCATTCTGTTTGTCACCCCACTGACACCGACAATTTTTTCCATAATTTTAGTGCTGGTTCAGATCCATACCAGGTCCATTGTCCATTCTTTTATTTTGCACCCACTTCACTTACAGCACTTATAAACGCCTATTAGCATCAGGCTATTTCTAGTGCATATGTGACTGTCTGGTACTTTTGCTACATATTCAGAGTCAACCAGCAGTATTCACAGTCAACCGAGTCAGAGTCCATAATGATTGTATGTAGTCAAATCACTGATAGTCTCCGAAAGCCAATCAAAAATATGATGGTCTTCAGGAAAATGGTAGAGAAAAATTTCATAATTTCACTACACGCTGAACAATTTAAAGTTTGCAATTATAAAACGTAATTAGGTATTAGGTAATGGCAAAGATGGACTTAGACTTAAGTAAAATCATCAATTATTTTCAGAACACATTGACCATAACTTACACTGGAAAGAAAAAAAGACCTAAAAATAAGTCTGGAAAAGGTAATTCAATTTAAATTGATTATGCTGATTTCATTGATTTGGTTGAATCATGCTATGTTGATATAGGGCTGTGTATTGCTTTTCTGCTATTATGCTATGATTAATAGGGGATAACCTGATAGATAAAAAATAACACTTTATCTTAAAGGTTAAATGATTTTTATTACCAGTACTGTAAGCTTATATCTTTGGATGATAAGAACATTAAAAAATACTAAAAAATTGTAATTTATTGTTGTCATGGTTACATTGATCAACAGAGCTTCTCCTTTTTATTTCTTATGCATTTGCAGTGCAAAATTTGGATATAAACATTTTGTGCCATGTATATATTCAAGTATTATTATTGACTGTTACTAGTGTCCTCAGTCAACTGACTGAATGTAAAAATATGAAAGTAGGTCCAACCTGAAAAAGAAAAATACGTTTTTGATTTTCAGGTGTTATTGCATTAGTAGGCTACATTGCTCATATAAATGCATTTATAATCTTGTGCAATGTTGAATTTCTCTCTGATACATAGAACAACAGATAGACCTATTTTGTCTTCGTTGACTTGAAGATTTGCTATTTGATTTTTAAGTTGTGTAAATATTCTAGCAATGACCATTGTTTTATATTTTTTGTAGCACCATTAAAATCTGGTCCGTGTTGTTTTTGTTTGAGTTACAAAGATAAAGAAGAAGAATATGGTAAATTAATCAAGAAAAATGGTTTCATTGTTCATTATTTTTGTTTGGTAGGTTTTATTGTATTTTTTGCTGGCTGACCAGTTATAGTTGGGAAAGTCATTGCATTACCATGTCTGAAATTTGTCACAAAATGTTTGGAATGGGGAATGTACCCACAGGCATCTGCTTCTATCAATGATCTCTCTCTATGATAGTATTATGTGAGAAGGTGGCTAACGCACGTCACAACTACCTAGGCTTCAGACGATTTTCTACCATTTACCGTATTGAAACATAATCCCAACCTTATATGGTTCGTTTCATTGAAGATTTTCCCTTCACACAAGACATCATTTCTCCCTCAGTGTTCTTTTTCATACTAATCTAACTATCGTTCAATAAAAATACTAAAAAAATTGACACCCATCGTTTCAACGTGTGTTAGCCACCTTCTCATATATATACCATTATAGAGAGAGTCGACTATTTATAGAAACAGATGCCTGTGAATGTACCGGTAAATTCATTGAAAAAGGCCTGCAATTGGGTCAGAGGTATTATAATTTGTCCAAATTTTTCATTATCAAGCCAAACACAAAAACTAGGTCAAACTGCTTGATTATAAACTAATCATCTGCCATTTTAATAGCCCTTTTAAATTCAGTAATAACAAATAGATACATATAATAGCATACTTTAGAAATATTTTAGGTATACTTTACTACATTTTTGACATTGACAATATTTGCATACTGCAGCCTCATCATGCAAAATATTTGGGCTTGCACAATATCATTTGAGCCAGTTGTCTTGAATTTTTACTTGCCAAAATAAAAAATTTCAGCATGTGGCTATACCCTATTTCAGGCACTGATAATACTCTTCTGCATTGCATGACATTGTCCATCCTTTTTGGCCCAAGTTTTTTCTTGTAAATAAGCTAATGATTGTAGAGAAATGTCTGTACTAAAAAAATGAGGTTTTATATTTTAATTTCAGATAGTAAATAGTTCAACCAGAATCTAAAAAAACAGCTGTCTTTGTTTTTTTTATACAAAATATTCTGCAATAAAATCTTAATCGTTTGAAATTATTACATTATTTCTATCTTTTGCTTCAGTTATTTTCTAGTGCATTATGTCAGAGAGGTAGAACTGATAAAGAAGGAATCTATGGGTTTTTATCTAAAGATATTGATAAAGAATTGGCTAGAGGCTCCAGACTTGTAAGTGTGTTCTTAAGAAAATAAATAAATGTTTTAATTTAAAAATCGTTTCTCAATGGTACCTCATCATTACGACTAAATATTGCAAAATATACCATGTAAATTGGGATTTGTACTCGACTTTTATGTCATGTAATTTAGGGACTAGATTTGATTAACTGATCATACTTTTGTGAACTATTGGGTTAATATGAGAGTCAGAAGTCATGTTCACTCTAACGTTTTAAGGTGCATTAACGCATCGCACTAAAACTGCTTTGAACTGATCTCAATGTTTCAAACTGATTTTAATCCGCTTTAATGGATGGTGCATTTGTTTTGTACCAAATTGAATCGCCTTGGCGAAAAACGAATTCCAGAGATCACTTTCCACAAATTGATATCGCTTTCAGTGGGAACGAGCATTAGAAAAGTAATGATACATCAATCATGAATGATGAACTCGATCTTTCAAAGCAAAATTTTTTTTTTATTACGTAGAAAATCTAATTATTTTAGAAATGTGATTATTGTAAGAATCCAGGAGCAACTATAGGTTGTGTTGTTACTTCGTGTCGGAGAAAATTTCATTTTGTATGTGGAAAAGAGAATGGCTCACTTCACCAATTTTACGATACTTTTAGGTAAGTTAATACTTTACTCTGTCAATATGCACTATTGAATTTGGTGATGATCCGATGATTTTCTTGAGAGATATGGCATAAAGCTCTGATATCGCGTTCTTTTTTTTTCTCACTGTTTTGGCTCGTGCTCACTCTACAGCCTACAATTCTCTAATGATTCTTTTGATCTTTTGTATGTGTGTCAATATCATTATGAAGATGTGCACTATTGAATTTGGTGATGATCCAATGATTTTCTTGAGAGATATCGCATAAAACTCGTTTTTTTTTTCTTCACTTTTTTGGCTCATGCTCACAGTTCACATTTAGCTCTTTATGCAGCTGCTGGTGGGCATATTCGCTTCTGAGACTTGCCGCAAGCCTATGTTTTTTATACACAGTGTATATTGTATTGCCTTCTTCACCAGGAACAGAAAGTAGGATGTAAAACTCCATTTAATTCCTTTTTTCATTTCATTGTCTTGAATTGAATCTAACTGTATTTATTTACAGCTCTTCTGAACTTTCTTATAAGTTTGTGTCTAAGCAAAATGCCTCAACATAGAGAAATATGCTAACCAAAGTAAAACCACCCTGGGTGACAAATAAATTGTTCAAGAATGTCACTTTAAAAATTTTGAGGAAAGTTTAGAAAGTGTGTATCATAAAATAATATTCTGTTAGATCAATGTTATTTGTTGTCATTTAGATCATTCTGTCCTGATCACAGACCTGAACAGAGTTATGTTTATGATAACAGAAGTAAAAAGACAGCAACTTGTCCTATCTGTATGTCAACAGTACCAGCTAGATGTTCTGTGGATACCCTCAAATCTAACTGCTGTAAAAACTCCTGGTTTCATCGATCTTGTATTCAGGTAATTTTATAATCAGCCTTATATAATCTGTCTTCTGATTGGTCAATCACTAAATCAATTTTAAATATAGTTTTATTATCCAATCAGATTACTCTTAAAATCTAGATTTGTTGTAGTAATCTTTTGAAAAATCAAACCCAAGAAAAATAACATGTAATTGTTTTAATAAAGGAAGTGTGTTATAACTTAAAAAAGTAAAAAACCTGTCTTCTGATGGCTAATGATATATAGATTTTTATATGACCACACAGAAATATGGACATTGCCTTTGCCCCATCCGTCTGTTCACATTTCTTGTAAACATGATAAGGGTTGCCGTCTTTGTCCTATCTTAATGGAACCTGGTATGTAGGTATATATTGATAAGATCTCAGTCAAGTTCTAATTTATCTGTGTCTATGTAGATGAGACCATGTTCGTGTGAATTTGAGGATTACTTATTATATTTCTTTGAAAATTTCAGACACGAGTGGAGTGTGATTCAATGCTTCTGGGTTATTGCTATTGATCAAAAAAGATTTTGTGGAAAAACTGAGAAAATTTGTGTTTTAGTAACTAGAAACTTGGCTATCAGTTTGATAGCTGCCAGTGAGCAAGCAGCCTGGCAAGCTATCTTTATTAGAATCATATTTCAAAATAAACCAAGAAAAATCAGTGCATACTGTTACTGTTTTAAGGGTTTATTTGTCCTGTTAGTTATTTTTCAAGATGTTAAACATTAACTCTATGAATAAATGGTCCAAGGGGCGAAAAGAGATTTTGAACCTGTTTTGCCCTGTCAGTTTAGACATGATCGTTAACTCTGCTTGGTTTTTCTCCTACCTTTATTTGCAAGTCACCTTGTTTAAAATATGGTAAAAATAGAGAGTATCAATAAGAAAATTCATCATAATTATTTTATACACCCACATGGAAATGTGGACGTATATTGCCGTCGCCCCTGTCCGTCGGCCCGTCCGTTCACATTTCTTGTAGGTGCGATAGAGGCTACAGTTTTTATCCGATCTTGATGAAACTTTGTATTCATGTATGTATTGATGAGATCTCGGTCAAGTTCGAAATCGGTAATAATCGAATAAACGGTTTCAGAGTTATTGCCCTTGACTTAGTAAAAACGCGTCAAATTTGCCTTGTAGGCACGATAGAGACTACAGTTTTTAACCGATCTTGATGAAACTTGGTATTCATGTATATATTGATGAGATCTCGGTCAAGTTCGAAATCGGTAATAATCGAATGAACGGTTTCAGAGTTATTGCCCTTGACTTAGTAAAAACGCGTCAAATTTGCCTTGTAGGCACGATAGAGACTACAGTTTTTAACCGATCTTGATGAAACTTGGTATGCATGTATATATTGATGAGATCTCAGTCAAGTTCGAAATTGGTAATAATAGAATCAACAGTTTCTGAGTTATTGCCCTTGTGTGTACAACAATGAGACATTGTTCTTGTTTGAATGTGATGATAACTTGATGAACTGTTTCAGGTTTTTGCCTTGACTTATATAGATGATTTTAAGATTATTTGAAAATTCATTATTAAGCCACTAAAGATTTTGTTATCATTTCTGACAGCTGGTAGAGGGCGTATGTTTCCTTGCCTGGCAAGCTATCTTTAACAAATGAATTCACATCAATCCCAAATAAAACTTTTCAAATCATGATTCAAAATCAAGAAATTATGTATGAATTCCTGTAACACCTGTAATGATTCTTACCGATTGTTTTCTAGAGATATGGTTTATCTGCAGGCCTCCATTTTTTTAAATGTCCAATGTGTAATGATGTTGATAAGTTTCAGAAAGAAATGTTAGAATTTGGTATTTATATACCTGACCAGTAAGTATATTTCTATATAGATCTACAAATGATGTGTTGAGCACCATTTAAACAGTAACATTTTCTATTTGTATAAAACTCCTTATTAATAGTATAGCTCTGTCTTGTTAAAGAACCATTCCACTTTTTTGTAGGTCGAAATTTTTTTTGGCTCAAATTTGTGAAAATCTAGAGAAATGTGCCGTTTAAAGGGACAGATGCACCATTTTGAGGGGTTGACTTTAGTCTGGAATATATATAAATAGTCCTTCCGAAGTTCTAGAAATGTACGAAAATCACATAATTCCTTTAAAAACACTTTGAAAATCTTAATAATTAACCCTTTAAAAATAAATTCAGTTTGATCAAGAAGATAGGTAGATATAAATAGCATACTTTAGTAATATTTTCAGGTATAATTTAGGACGTTTTTGATAATGAAAACTTTTTACAAAAAGCGGAATACCCCTTTAACTATTTCTGGTTTACTCTTTTTAGTGATCTGGAAACCAGATGTGGATCTATTTAATTCTTTATAATCCATTTCATGATCCTTGATTATTCCAGAGATGCTGCATGGGAAAAAGAACCAAATGCATTCAATGAGTTATTAGAAAGACACAATGTGTGTGATGCAGAACATTGTAAATGTCCTCATGGTAGAAATGATTCTCCTGGCGGGTAGGTATTAAAGATATTGTGCATATTATGCATTTCTGGTAGTTGTGTTGGGAAGTATTGAGAGGTGAATTCTATGTCACTCTTTTATCTTTGTCTACCATGTCAAAAGGGTACCAGGGCAACTAAAGGAAAAGAAAAAGCAATGGCCACCGTAATATGTCCACAATTGTAATGGCAGCCAAGTTGTTCGGGAGGTTGACAAGAGCTATCAGTAAATGAAATATTTCAAGAGTAACATTTTAATACTGGAAAAGCTTTATTCACAGCCTTATTCTCTTTTTTTTTTCGATTGGGTTCAGGTGATAATAAACAATTTCTCCTAGTTTTGTCTAAATCAGTCAAAAATTTGTCTTCAATATCAAACATCGAACCCTTCCATGGAAGGGCAACAACCAATATAGAATATATTTCATTTTGTCTGATTTTCATTTGGTGATAACAAACAATGACACCAAATTTTATCAAAATCAGTCAAGAGACCAGCTCTCCAAAGATATTTCCACAATCCACAAATTACATGATGAAAAATCCATGTTTTATATTTACTATTCAATATTGTTGTAGGAAGTGGGAAATATTATTGTGTTCATCTTGTGGATCTGTTGGTAGCCATGTTGGATGTAATGGTTTAGTATTTATCAAGAGAAATGATGAACAATTATGTTTTGATTGTTGGGATATTCATCAACGAGGTATAGTGTATAACAATTTTGATCAGAGCTGTCTATTTTTTGTGAATTTTGTGCATGAGCTTATAATGTCTTTCACCTGAGTGTGCAGAGTGTTATATTATTTAAAGCCTGCCATGACGAGGTGAACTAGCTGAGCTGCTTGCCTCACGAGGCTGTCAGCTGAGCAACAATCTCATTACTTATTTCACAGCAAACGAGAGCTCTTGTCTTAGCTGTTGTCTCACTCGAAATTCTTCGGCCAATTCCATGCGTAAACAAAAACAACTGAAGAACATTTGGATTGCATCATTCCCAGAGTTTTGGAATTCCACAGAATAAACAACGTATAGACATGGGTACTTCAGCAAGCTGATCTTCCAAATTGCTTCATTCAAGGTTACCATAATGAGACCATGTGATCTGTCAAGCAAGATAGATATTTTCCTTACAACCTCTCAAGGCAGAAATCTCAATGGTTTATGCAGAGTCTTATATTCCCATGCTAGCTTTGATTTGACTTAAATTAGAACTTTTCACTTTAGAAACCATTTTGTTTCTGCAATTTTTCAGGTTCCTAGGTGTTATTCCAATTCATATGAAAATAATCAGTAAAAGTGGAATTTACCTCACATATTGAAATCTGTCGATATTGTCAAATGTAATGAGAAGTTTTACTGATTGTTTGACTTATATTATTAAAATCTGTCGATATTGTCAAATGTAACGAGTGTGAAATTATTTTTGTTTTTTCAATTTTTCTTATCAGATATAATTTTGGGTTTATTAGGGTATTCATATGATATGATATGATATTACCCTATGAGTGTTGTCAATATTCATCAGATTTTCTACAAAAATTTATTGTAGGCATTTGAACAAAAATAATGTTGAGCAGTTTAGAATAAATTTTGAATTGCACATTGGAACTATTTGGATGTGTTCCACTAGGCTAGTATTAACAGAGTGACTGAGATAAAGTCTATTAAATGTTCAACTCAATTTTTTGCTATTTCAGTGGAAGGTAGAAAGAAATCTGAAAATGAAAAAGGCACCAAAAATTTACCTAAAAGAATAAAAACAGTCAGTTTGACTGAAGCTCAACGAGAAAGACAGCTGAGAGAGTTGAAAGCTAGACGAGGGTCGGATACTCTAGTTAACATTAAAAATTGTGACACTGATGCAGATGTAGATGTGGTCAGTCCGGAAGACAGTGGGAGTCAAATTATAAGAAAAGGTGCATCTGTAACAGAACAAAACCGAATGAGCAAACGACAGAAACTCTCACTAGATGGCAGTAGACGATCCACAGGAAATGCAAGTGACTCACTCAGTGCAAATATAACTTTAACGGATGACTCTAGGGGTCATAAGGTCACGGCTACTATATCACGTAGTAGTTCACGCAGTAGCTCTAACAGTAGTGTTTCGGTAGCAAGCAGCCATGTTTCAAATTCAGGTTTACCTGATTTATCTCAGAGCTTTCAAGACAGTGACTCTGATTCAGAAGCAGAGTCTTGTGACTCCTCATCATTCTCCATCAACACTGTTACAGACCTACCTCAAAGGAAAGCTTTGACCATTTCTTGGAGGGGAAGGAAAGTTCACATCAGCAATCCAAGCACTCCAGAAAAACACAATTGGTCTCTGCAACTTCAGATGGGCAACAACTCATCTCAAACACCATCCAGCAGTCGTAGGTCATCATCAAGTTCATCATCATACACCAGAAGTGGACAGACGTTTACCAGATCATCGAGCAGTGATGATGATTGTAATGAAGCTTACAGAGCATCACCACCATTGCTAGTTCCAGTTGATGATGAAATTTCTGTCCGTGTTCCATCAAAATCAGAAAAATTTTCCTGGGAAGAGGATACTATGTCTGCTCCAACCAGATATGGTCCTGTTAACAAATACACATCAATCAGGAATGCTATTTTCCCGGAGGACATATCGTCTAATCCTAATGCCAGACAAGCCTCCTCTAGCGATTCCATCATATCCATCAGTAGTTCAGATTCAGACACTGGTGATCAACTTAATCCAAGGAAGAAGAGAAGTAGAAATAACAAGACGCCGGTTGTCGCTAACACAGAGAGACCTAGTAATGTAGTTGATCTAACAGAGAATGACGTACCTTCCACTATACGCTTGATACCTCGTTATCTAGTACGTCCTCCATTACGACCTCATGTCATGGAACCAGAAGTAGTCATATTAGACTAACATACAAGTCTTTTTTTTTGGTTATTTTATATACATGTAATGAATACAATGAATTATTAGATTTTGTAATATACTTCCCAGTAAGTGTGTATGACAAAGTGTGTATGAGGAACTTTTTTACTTACAGCATGTTACAAAATGCTCATAAGTGGTTGATTGTAACACCATGCTCATATTATATGTATAGTTTATGAGCTTCAGACACTAATAAATACTGTTTGAAAGAAAAATATGTATATATAAAGTATTATTGATATAAAATCATTAACAGACATTGAAATAGATTTTGCTGAAAATTTATTTTACTGAGGTGATTAAGGCAAATTTCCAGTATCCATATATGAATGGGCTTAAAAGGGCAATTATGATTTGTTTGTAGGTCGAAAAGATACTGTTCCCTCTAGAGCTCATACAATTGATAGTATTAAAATATAGTTGCCTCTGATCATATCATGTTGATAATTAAGGATTAAAGGATTGCTTCCTTTTTTTAAAAAATATTTCCATGTAAATAAATCTAAGTGACATAAATTAACATATTGAAAATTACAGATATAACACATAATGATCACAAGATAATAAGTTTATTACACCCAAACGAAGCTGTAGTGTGGCGTAGACAAATTTGGACTGAATGATAGAGACTACAATATTATTTTTGTGAGAGACTGAGAATGAAGTTTGTATACAATCTAAATTATTTGTGATGTCTATTATATTTATCAATAATTGTCTTTCTATTTTATTTCAATGAATTTTTATTAGCTTAAATTTGGGTGTTAAAGATTGTTGTGTTATCTCTGACTTACTTTCTCATTATTTGATATCTCAAAAGTCAAATTTATGCTTTATTATGTGTCCATATGGTATAAAATTATCAAATTAGAGAACAAAATAAATGAGTTGCCAACTGGTAGAGTTTTTTGTGCTTACAGTTTTATGGAAATTAGTCAACAAATGTCTGAGCAAACTGATAAGTTTTTAAAATTGGTTCCCATTATTTTTATGAGAATTGGAATAGCAGCCTAAAAATAGTTCTGTTAGTCTTAGAATGTCTTTGCGTTGATAAAAATATTAACATAAGCACACATTATGTCTTCAACAATTTTTTTTACAGACAACAATTTTCTGTCCAAATTTGGTACTTTTTCTCCTTGAATTTCTAGGAGATAAAAAAATGTGTTTATTTTCAATGTAAACTTACAAATAATATTTCTACACAAAGACATTCTATGACTAACAGTACTGGCTGAGGCTGATATTCCAATTCTAATAAAAAAAAAACGAAAAAAATCAAAAGCTTTTTGCTTTGCTCAGACAATAAAATTATAGAATTTCTGCTATAAATTATAGTGTAGGCTTATATACCCCATGTTTTCAATTGTATCTTTTATGAGACTTTCCTTAGTTTGTCAGTTCATGCCTTATTATATCAAATTTTGCTGGAATAGTAAATCTACAACGATCTTTAACTTGAAAGTGTATAGAAATGACTTTATTTCATAATGATATCAGAAAATGTAAATATTTCATTCATCAATGGTATATCAATAAATTCTATAATATATTCAAATATTGTGGTTTTTGCTTTGATTGTATTTACAGAGTCTAAAACATGGGTTATAATGGGTTTGACTTTTTGACCATGTACTCAAAATTACTGCAGATTTGTTTCATAAGCACTGAATTTACTGAACTCTTTATTCAGAACTTCTAATATCAGCCCCATGTACTACATCTTGTCTATTGTCTTGTCTGTCTTGTCTATTGTCCTGTCTATCTTGTCTATTGTCCTGTCTGTCTTGTCTATTGTCCTGTCTATCTTGTCTATTGTCCTGTCTATCTTGTCTATTGTCCTGTCTGTCTTGTCTATTGTCCTGTCTGTCTTGTCTATTGTCCTGTCTGTCTTGTCTATTGTCCTGTCTGTCTTGTCTATTGTCCTGTCTATCGTCCTATGATGAATGTTATTACTAAACAACATAGCATTATCAGGCCATCAAGCACTTATAGACAAAAATTAGATTTGATTTGCTTGAATTCGAGACTATTTTGGACAGATTTCACATTAACAGTGTACAGTGATCGTACGTAAAAAAAAAATCAGCCTGCATTGTATTAGTACAGAGAGTTCATAAAAAATATACATTTTATTCTCATTTTGATTTTAGAAAATAATGCATCAATATTTATATATTTTAATTGTTTTCCCCTTTTTGGAAATTTGTGATATAATTTTATATTTGTAAGTTAGCAATACCAATTTTTATACAAGTAATGTTTATAAAATTTTCATAATTCAGTGTTATGAAGAAATATTTGTGGAGTGTAAGTTAGTCTCCTACCTACTGCTATTGACATAAAAATTTACCAAGGGTAGATATATGGTAACACAACAATTGAGATGCTTGTAAGAGTATGGGTTTTGATCCTTGTATATACTAGTAGTACCATCAAATTGTAAAGGTGGTTTCCTGTGTTAAGCAGATCAGATGTGCCGACACAGATAATATTTTGTCATAACATTGAGATATAAATTGATAAACAACATCGAACCTTGCATGCCCCTATTCCTGACTATCATTCAATTTGATTGGTTTAGAATTATTTAATAACCAATTAGATTCATTTTTCAAATTGAATTTTTATACTGATGTAGTGGATCCAATGGGGTTACACCATTAAGCTATGATTATATGTGTATGCAAATTCAAACTCAAACTCATGTGCCATAAACGATGATTCAGCAAAACTGTCAATGTACAAAGGAGGATAGGAAAGTTCCCCACAATAATGTCATAAAGTGATTCCCCCACTTTGCCAGCTGTCCGAAGTTGTCCGGAGACGCAAACAAATTGCTCAATGAGCCATCCATTGCACTTACAGAGGTTGAGTTTGAGGACACTTATATCGTATAATTCCGAAAAAAATGCACAGGCATGTATAATGCACCCCCCTTCCTGAAAATTGGGAAATATTCATTCACCTATATAAAATATGCACCTCTTATTTCATGAATCGGAATTGGCATATCATAGACACCATAAGTTATCAATACTGTTTTTAATTGATTATGTGTTTGAGTTTGAGTACACATGTAATTCGCAGCATTAACCTAAAATGAGCTTGCATATTTTACTGACTTGAGTACTATTGATAAATGAAGATGAAGAAAACAGAGGAAGTTATAAATTCACATGTTGTGGAAATACAAAGTAAACTTATTTGAATATTTATTGAAAAAATAATTCTTTTTAATGTTAAATAAATACACAAAATTGGACAAAATATACATAAAATTATGAAAATGTTTAAAAATCAACTATTCACAATTGGCTTTAACAAACAAAAATAATTTTATTACAAATTTTATATACAGAACAATTAAATTATTTTGATTTAGACTTTAGGAAGTTTTCTACATCGTTGCATATTTAAAATTAAGGGTGCAGTCACACAAGCGGTCTTGGTCGAAGATTTTTGTCGCCGATTTAAGTCTTCAGTAAAATCTTATGTGTGCCCGTGTTTCCACGACAAGATTATCGTGATTTTTAATATCAAACAAGTTTGCCTTCGATATTTTTATCACCTACACAACAGACCATCCAATCAGATTCATTTTCCATTCAAAAGCATGATCCGCATGTGATTATCAACATGGTAGAAAACGACCAATTGGAGATTTTTGTCTCCTCGTGTGTTGACAAGACTCATGTCGGCGACAAAAGTTTTCGACCCAGACTGTTCGTGTGCCCGCATCTTACTGTGACAGTTCATCTATATTATACACATTTACATTTTTTATCTTGATGAAAGGAGTTTAAAGCGATAGATTTCTCCATTTTCGAGGTTGATGTGGGGTCTTGAATATAATATGTAAATAGTCTTCAGAAGTACTAGTAATCACATAATTCCTTAAAAAATTTCATTTTCTATTTCTTTTATCTATATGGCAATGTCTCAAGAAAAGATGACGCGTCATTTTACCTTTCGAATGCGAATGTGGATAATTGTGGACACACATGGTTCTTACATTGAAATAATACACAAACGTAGTTCTTTCATTTAAATCTGACTCTTTCTCAACTTAATAAGCCAAATATCACTAAAAGCTTTAATATTTCAACTGAGCAATCAAATCATATTAAACGGTTTAGAAATAGCTTTAAATGTGATGTGAAGGCTTAGTTTTTAAAAATTCGACTTATTAAGTTGAGGAAGTGATTCAACATGGTTGTGAACTATGTTTGTGTGTGTTATTTCCATGTTCGAACATTACATAGTTTCATATGATATATTTGCTCACTTGTTGTTTTAATAACATTTGATTTATACACAAAACCTGTACATGGAAGATTTCAATAATGCTTGGAAAATACTGATTTTTTACAATTTGAGTTATTTGACTAATTCTCTTCAAAAACAGGCATAAAAACAAAATGAAATGAAAGGGAGTTCTATGTCTTCTTTTCTGCATTATATAAACAATATGGAAATATATAGAAAATGTTAAGGACATTGATGAGTATTAGCCATTTTGGTTTTGAGTTCTACTATAGTTTATCAAAGAAAACTTATGACATAGGAAAAGAAAATTAAATGCTTCACAATACACATTACGATTAGAAATTCTTGGTATTTTATATTTATATTTATTTGGTTAAAGTAACTCCTTTAATATCTAAGAAGGGAGCATCTTCTTATTTTATGTTTAAAGGGGCATTCAGCTTTTTTTGTCAAACCTTTTCATTATCAAAAGTTTTGTAAATTATACCTGAAAATTTTTCTGAAGTAGACTATTTATATCTACGTATCTACTTGATCAAACTAAATTTATTTAAAAGGGTTAATTAAAAACTGAGAGTATTAATAGTTAATTAAGCAGTTTGACCTTGTTTTGGTGATTAGCTTTATAATGGCTCGTTGAAACCTTTAGGAGACATATTTCTCTACAATTAGGTGTTTATTTTACTCAAAGCCGTACAGTAATTTTCTAACAGCTTGCAAAAAGCAGAACAAAGTTTAAAAGTTTACGTAACCTTTCGTAAATTTTTTCAATAGTTTTGGCGTTTACAAATTTACGGCTGGATATTTTTATTTAAAACTTAACTTCGTTAATGGGATTTTTTATAGTTTTCACAAATTTGAGCAAAAATTGTACGTGCAAAGCGGAATGTCTCTTTACTATGTGTCATATAAAAGCATGATTTTTAATATCATTGTCACAAAATCCTGATCATGTCTTTTAAGAAGAAAACAACTTTAATTCACAGCACATTTCACCATTCATCTACGGTTATTTCTTACGTTATTCAATCTGTAATGGAAAATAAAATATGCTATACCTCTACATCTAATAACAGATGTAAATATTTGGAGATTTGGGTGTGATACTGCTCAACACTTCCATTCTCAAACAATACTAAAGTTGAATTTGCGAAATTTCTGTAAAATTCTATACCTTCCTTATCTTATTGCAAGATTGTACAATGCAGTAAAAAAATTGGCTAGACTATAAGACATTTATGATCTTAAAATCTGATATCTTTCTACATCACTGCACTAGCACAAGAAATCAAGTACAACTTGTCAGACTGCAATAAGAAGATTGGTTGAAAGAAATGAATCATTGTCTGAGGGAAACAATGCATGGAAGTCTAAGTAGAAACATTTTTTTAGGTTTTGGTTTCCTTTCAACGTTCAAAGTTAAAAATCAGTTGGAAATTGAAGGACCTGAACATAATGGGGGTTGCAAGATTGGTTAGTTCTGCACATTCAGGATTCCTGAAAGTTGGAATATATGTCAGAACATATTGCATGTGTGCCGGAAAAAATAGTAGGTGCCAACAGAATTCAAAATGGCGGAGACAGAAAAAGATGGGGAAATTTTGAATGTGACATATTCCACTTCTTATAACTCTTCAACCGAGCACCATCATGGCCATTCAGTATTCATGTATGAGAGAAATTACTCTAGAAAAAGACAATTACCTAGCCAAGCTCTCCATATATTCTGCTGTATGTTGTGTTATTTGTGGCATCTGTTGTAAATATTGGTACTGATTTCTGTTATTGTTACCACTAGAATTATTAACAGAGTAACCATACATCTGATTCTGTCCTATAGGTTGATAGGTAGACATACCATTACGACTAGCATTACCTATTTCACCTCTCTGACCTCCACGACGTCTGCCTTGAAAGTCAATATCAAACATTGTCATTATACAAAATCACATCATTTCTGCATTCTACTTGCATAATATTATACATGTAATGAACCAAATAAACAATAACCATGAAGACTCTCAAGAAGAGATGCTGAATGATCTAGAAGGGTGAACTTTCCCTGCCTTGCTTGCAATACCAGGAATAATATTTTTTTACAAAAGAACAAGCTTAAATTCCCATCTAAATGTCCATGTCAATTCTTATGTCACTTCAGATTAACTCATAGCTTAGTTTCACTTAACTGTGTTACAATAATTCTTTCTAACAAAGTTTACACTGGTAATGTAGAGCTCAAGTTTTTAGGGCTTTTTTTGTTTGCAGGATACAAACAACATTCTGCTTCAAGTGTATTAGAAAGGAGTAAAAGTTAGATTTATACTTACTCCTAGAATTATCAGAATCATCATATAATAAAGCACCATTCCATACTGGTGGTGAACTGAGTTGTACATTAGTAACTTTAACTGGTACTGTAGTTTTATAATGACCAATACCAGGTAATGTTCCTTCTACTGTATGATTACTAGTGGGCTATTAAAATACAATCATACATAGAACATCAGCTATCACAAAATAGAAATACAGCAAATAATAGAGAATAATAATAAATTTCACTGAAAAGCTAGAGTTGTGATTAGTCACTCATCATGAAACAGTTTTTAACAGCAATTCAAAATACAAAATTGTGATCAGCAATTCATGATGCAAGAGATGTGATTAGTTATTCACCATATAAGAACTGTGATCAGCAATTCATGATGCAAGAGATGTGATTAGTTATTCACCATATAAGAACTGTGATCAGCAATTCATGATGCAAGAGATATGATTAGTCATTCACAATACAAGAATCGTGATCAGCAATTCATGATGCAAGAGATGTAATTAGTCATCCACAATACAAGAATTGTGATCAGCAATTTATGATGCAAGAAATGTGATTAGTCATTCACAATAAAAAAATTGTGATCAGCAATTCAAGATGCAAGAGTTGTGATTAGTCATTCACCATGAAACAGTTGTTAACAGCAATTCACAATACAAAAATTGTGATCAGCAATTCATGATGCAAGAGATGTGATTAGTTATTCACCATATAAAAACTGTGATCAGCAATTCATGATGCAAGAGATATGATTATTTATTCACAATACAAGAATCATGATCAGCAATTCATGATGCAAGAGATATGATTAGTCATTCACAATACAAAAATTGTGATCAGCAATTCATGATGCAAGAGATGTAATTAGTCATCCACAATACAAGAATTGTGATCAGCAATTTATGATGCAAGAAATGTGATTAGTCATTCACAATAAAAAAAATTGTGATCAGCAATTTATGATGCAAGAGATGTGATTAGTCATCCACAATACAAGAATTGTGATCAGCAATTTATGATGCAAGAAATGTGATTAGTCATTCACAATAAAAAAATTGTGATCAGCAATTCAAGATGCAAGAGTTGTGATTAGTCATTCACCATGAAACAGTTGTTAACAGCAATTCACAATACAAAAATTGTGATCAGCAATTCATGATGCAAGAGATATGATTAGTCATTCACAATACAAGAATCATGATCAGCAATTCATGATGCAATAGATATGATTAGTCATTCACAATACAAAAATTGTGATCAGCAAGGGTCGTGGACTCGTGATTAATAATTCACAGTCCAAGAATCGTGATCAGCAAGTCATGATGCAAGAGCTGTGATTAGTCATTCACAACAGCAATTCACAATACAAGAATTGTGATCTACCATTCACCATGCAAGAATTGTGATCAGCCATTCACAATGCAAATGTTATCAGCAAGTCATGATGCAAGAGATGTGATTAGTCATCGACAATACAAGAATTGTGATCAGCAATTCATGATGCAAGAGATGTGATTAGTTATTCACAAAAGCAATTCACAGTGCAAGAATTGTGATCAGCACTTCACAGTACAAGGGTTGTGATTAGTCATTCACCATGCAAGGGTCGTGATTAACAATTCACAGTCCAAGAATCGTGATCAGCAATTCAAAGTGCCAGAGATTCATTAATCAACAAAGAGTTGTGGTTAATAATTCACAGAATAAAAGTGTATTATTATGTTAAATACCTGTATATATTGTTGCTGTTGTTCAGCAAAATAGATCTCAGCTTTAGTTCTCTCTTCATCAGTAACAGGTATACCATCTATTATCATTAACTGTGGCATACGAAATATCAGCAATGGTCTATGAAGTAATCTTCGTGAAACCTGTACAAAAATACAATAGAAATAGTTATACATTCTACTGTTCTGCACTTTAACATCTAGAATCGAAGTGCTACATAAGAAATCTTGCCAAAAGGCAAATGCTTTCTTGTATTTTCCTACTGCTTCCAGATTGTCTCCCAAATTGCAAGCATGTTACATTCAAATAAAGGTGGATAGCAAAGTTTAATTCTTGGTCCAATATTCTTTTTTCTTGACTTATTAAAGCTATCATGCTTTAATTACACTCAAACTAATTACTTTTTTGTCTTATCTGGGTTTTAAATTGGGTGGGTGGCATCCATATTTCTTTAACAAGTATGTCGATTGCTGTAACAAATATGAGGGTCCAGACAGCGGGACATAAAATATTTTTTTAATAATTTAGTCTAATTAGAGCATGATAGCTTTAAGATTCAGTAAAACATGCATGTGCATATTACAAATTTACAATGTTGATGTTGACATTGTATGCCATTGAAGGAATATTGTGTATTAGTTGAACTTACAGCATTGTTGACCAGTGATAATTCCATCAATGTTACAATATTATCTATCTTTTCTAATTCACCTAAATCCTACAATAATGAAAGCATAAATCAAAATTCAATACATTCTTTTCTTTTATCACATCTTCATTGTGTATCTTTATCCATTAGTACAGTACTTTCTTGTGAATACATTTAAATAAATTGACTTCAAATATGCTCAACTGTAAGTCATATGCTGCATTCGATACCTGCTGTGAAAATAGTATTTACTACTTTCTTGCAAATCTGAAACTTGTGTAGAAACCCAAATTCAAACAGAAATTCACAACATTGACCCTGTTACATGGTAATCATGAGAGGTATCGAACGAGTTATAATTGAGATCCATTGTGGATCAAATATTTCACTTGGCTAGAATGTCACTAGTTCTGTAATGGATATTAAGAGTGTAATCAAATACCATTGACAAGAGTCGATGTTACAAATGTCTGACCAGCCCCAATTTACATTTAATATTCAAAATCATGTCAAAAACATTCATATCATCTGATAACCAACAGGTTTATCACAAAAATTTTGATAAAAGACTGTACCTGAATTCTGTTGGAACCAAGATAAAGTCTCTGTAGATTCTCCAGACAAGCCAGATTACTTAAATCACGTAGTCTGTTCTCTTCTAGATGTAGTTCCTGCAGGTTCCACTGGTTTATAAATGATAATTCTGATACACCTTTAATCTTATTTCTATCTAATACTAGTTCTCTTAATTCATGTAAACCATCCATACCATCTATCTTACAGATTTCATTACCTAGTTGACCAAATATCATATATTAAATGTCATGGTTCGCCATTTTCATCAGTTAATTTTGATCTTGAATATATGTAAGTCTCCAGAAGTACTAAAACTGCATGAAAATTGAAAAATTCCTTCATATATACCTCATACTACTGGAAATTTCATTTTCTATTTCTATAGATGTCTTTTCTACAGTCAAGTAACCTTATTTCGTGGAAACCTATTATTCGTGGATTTCCGGAAATGTTTAATAATTTACATGAGCGACCTTGCGCGACCTCCGCATTAGTTTGTATTGATAAACATGGGTTTTCTGCACAATATCAGCTAGTAGAATGAATTCAGTAGTTTCAAGCAAGGTAAAATGTATTAATGTATACTTTGACAAATACAAAATGGCGGATTTCAGTTATTACCACACGTCACAATTTTTTATCGGCCGAATTTCCTTATAATCCCAGGCGGTAATCGTAATTCCAAGTGTCGTCTGCTAGAATGTAGTCCAACGAATGAAGTCACATGATCAACAAGCGGATTCCGCGTCAGCAGAAAATTTCTATGGAACACAAAGTGGACCATATTCTTATGTTGTTTCAATGACTTTTAGCAATAAATCACGCAACATATCTTATTTTGTCAGTCACTATTTTTTTTTAAATCGTGGTTCTTTGAAGGAATTGTCACTAGTTATAATGAATTGATATTAAAGATAAATACTAAGAGAAGTTAATTATACCACTCGGTATCCATACAACGTGTTTTTCTCGACTTATTTATAGATCAAACATTGTACACGAAAATAGGTGACGCATTCTGTCGCCGTTGCCGAGTTGGTTGCTCATGAAATATGGGTCAAAGTGAAGGATTCATAAAGAAAATCGAAACAAACCAATTTTAATTATTTTGTAGAATATCTGATGAAACATTTAACTTTGACGCAATTCGGTGTTGAATCCTTATATCCACGAAAATAGGTTACACCACTGTATATATGACTAAGTCTCAAAAAAAGATGAGTCGTCTTTTTAACTTTCAAATGTTGATAATTCTGGACACACATGGATTTGAAGGCTCATTTTCTCCCTACACCATTTATGTCATGTCTCCAGTTCCATCAAAGTTTTTTTGGCCAAAACTGATTTAGCATCTGCCATTTAAAACTGCATTCGCAGCCAAAAGTGCAAAGGTCACAGAGTAACGTGATACAAACAAAACGAAAGTTTTGGTGATGCCAAAGTGCATCTTTGGAGGTGTGGAACAATCCCTATTTATGTCAAAATATTCATCAGAGGCTGGAATAGAGGAAGATGTTTCAGACTAATGCCAACTATATTGCTTTGTTAACCTTTCTCTCTCATATGAACTAGTTATTTTGGTCAAAAGACATTTTGTTTGATTCTGTGGGTAAAAAATAGAAACATTAGTTAAAAAGGGTTTTCCTCCAAAAAACAATAAATTTTACCATATATTTACTTTTCCTTAAATGTAATATATTTACCTTGTAGAAATAAAGCTTTTAATGATGGAAGTCTGTTTAACTGTAATGTGGACATTTCTTTTATATTATTATATCTACAAATATATATATTCAACTCAATACATTGTATATTCTGATTACAGAGTCTTAATAAAGGTATTTCTATTTGCACCATTCCCATTTTACTTGTGATGTCAATTGTTTTTCCCTTAAAACTACAGAATAGCAATACAACCAGATTATAATATCATTACCAAATATTATATTCAGGCCAAAAGATACCAAAAGATATCTTTGGTTGGCAAGATACCCCATTGGTGCAAATTTCATATGCAAGATATCTTAATATTGTCATCCATGTATACTAATCCTTCTTATTCAAGATACCATATTTGTGATAACAAAAACATCTTTATACACAAGATATCAAGTTGGTGATAACAAAAACTTGTTTATACACAATATAGTGATAACAAATATATCTTTATACACAAGATATCATATTTGTAATAACAAAAATATCTTTATACACAAGACTGCGAGAAAACAAATATCTTTATACACAAGATATCATATTTGTGATAACAAAAATATATTTATACACAAGATTGTGATAAGAAAAAACCTTTATACAAAAGATATTATATTTGTAATAACAAAAATATCTTTATACACAAAATAATATATGTAATAGCAAAAATATCTTTATATACAAGATATCATATTTGTGATAACAAAAATATCTTTATACACAAGATTGTGATAATACAAATATCTTTATACACAAGATATCATATTTGTAATAACAAAAATATCTTTATACATAAGATTGTGATAATACAAATATCTTTATACACAAGATATCATATTTGTGATAACAAAAATATCTTTATACACAAGATTGTGATAATACAAATATCTTTATACACAAGATATCATATTTGTAATAACAAAAATATCTTTATACATAAGATTGTGATAATACAAATATCTTTATACACAAGATATCATATTTGTAATAACAAAAATATCTTTATACATAAGATTGTGATAATACAAATATCTTTATACACAAGATATCATATTTGTAATAACAAAAATATCTTTATACATAAGATTGTGATAATACAAATTTATATCTAAAAAACAAAAAAACATAGTTGAGAGGAAATGAACACAATTGATCTTAAGAAAAATAGAAAAAATACCTACCCTAAATGTAAGACTTCTAAATTCTCTAAGATTGGAGAATATGAATCTGCACAGAAATCACCGGCCAAGCCTTTCTTATTTTTAGTTCTTGGTAATATACATTCTATATTATTATGATTTAAACACAAAACCTACATAAATACAAAACGGATATTAGAAAAATGTGTAAGGATGAAATACTTTAAGTGCAACATGGTGTTAATCAAAGATAATACGTTCGGATTTTTCAACCTGGTTTCCCTCTGTCAGTGCTGCAGACAGGTAAGAGGGGCTGACATGGTAAAAGTGTCTAGTTGTTCGGATGGGACAATAAACCGAGGACCTTAGTGCTACAGGCTGTGCACGAAATAGATCCCTGGACAGTTGGAAATCGTAAAAGATCAGGCTAATGCCGTTGTCCTGGCAGAATTTCCCTCATTGCATGGCGTTGCCTGTCTTCATTAGCCTGCATGGTGCAGAAAAGTAGAACATAAACTTCCATTCATTTCATTTCATTTCCCGACTTGATAATCAGCAGAGTGAACTTGACACTTGACACAAGGCATGAATGTTTTTTTCTGTATACACCTCCTATTCATGATCTAACAAAAGTATTATGCATCACATGTTCTAGGTCATTAAGTATTCAACCAATCAAATAATCTGCTTCATATTTAAGATTTACCTTGTATGTTAGGAATACGGGATATTCATTGCTCAACATGGACATGTTTTTAATTGGTCAACTTTTGACAAATTTTATTGAACTTGATTTAAAGAAGAATTGTGTCAGATCACTGATTGTGAGTGTAGTAAAATGTAGAATAAACACACACAAAAAACTTTCTAGATAATTAGATAATAATTTTTTGTATACATTATTATGTGCGACATTTCAACAAAAATTACTCTTGGTAGTAAAATATGAAAGAAACATAAATTGGAACATGGAAGTGCAAAAAGGCAATCCAAAACTTTTCACTTGAATTCAGGTATTCATCAAATCAAGTTATCAAGTTATCATATATCAACCATATAAAAGATCTTGATATAAGATTAAATATATACTTACCCTAACATTAACAAGATGTATTAAACCACTGAATGATGTTAAATTATTATTTTCTAAATTCACACTGAAAAATAAAACAGCAACAAATTAGTGATACTAAGTCTTAGAATTAACATAACATAATTAACACATAAAGAATTTTAAACTTTGTGAATAAGTGCCAGTAGATATATCTGGTGTCATAACATAACATAACAGTATCCTTATATAATCAGATAAATCCAAAAGACTTAGTAATTATCCATAAATATGCAATTAACTATTGATAAACACTTAATATTGAGATTAAGCGTTTTTTAATAATTATTTAGTTTATGAATTTTCCAATTTTCCAGATTTTACAGGGATTCTGTTGTAACTTTATGACACCAGGAAAGTTCACTGATGAATATATACTCATATTGGCCATTTAAAGAACTTAAATTTTTTGTTCATTCTAAGATGTAGTATTACTTTAATTTGATTATGAATCCAATATCTTGAAATCACAAATGATTAACTTATGAAGTTTTTGAGGGGTGTCAGTTTAATTTAGACAATATTTAGCCTGACAAAGTTATTATATGTGTGCATATCCTGGGAAAAACGCACAAAAATATGACTTTAGGTAGGGCAAGTGGTAACGAAAACAAATGTCAGGATTTTATAGTTTCATTTACTATTCAGTGTACTGTAAATTTATTAAACTGCTTGTGTTATGTTTTAAATCACATCTGAATGTGCATATTTGAGTTATAAATGGTATATGCTTATGTTAAAAAAAATAAATAAGTTTCCAAGGCGAGCCTACCTTCTAAGATTGACAAACATATCACTAGGACCTAAATCAACTGTTTTTATAGAAGATGATGGTAGATCTAGTTCTCTAACTTCAGCAAAATTAGAATGGAATAATTTCTCTGCTATAAAATCAGATGTCAATCTTCCACCAAACATCTCCTTTGCTATATTGCCTTCAGAAGCTTCCTGTAAAGGTATCAGATTAATTTTAAAGAAGCTTCAAATAATAAGAACTGCATGACCACTGATGTTAAATTTACCTTAGATACTGGATGCTATGAATTATAAATGTTGATTTTCCCTTTGCAATGAATTGGAGACCCTTTAAAAATTGATGTACATTTAAAGGGACAGATGCACCATTTGATTTTAGTCTTGAATATATGTAAAAAGTCTTCAGAAGTACTAGAAATTCATTTACAAATACTTCAAACTAGGAATTTTACTCACTATTTCTATTATGTCTTTTCTATATATCAAAGAGTATCTTAAATTGATGAGTCGTCATTTTAACATTCAAATGCGGATAAATGGATTTGGAGGCTAAAATTTCAACGGTGCACTGTGAACACTATTACTGATTGGCTTAGCTAAAAAATTCCTGTTTCTAAGACTAAAGTATGATTGGTCAAAAAAAATGGTGCACCTATCCCTTTAAATATTTGTTCCAACGAAGGCATCACATATTTTATATAGGCATCTTTAGCAATGTGAGCAATCTTTCAAAGCCCAATTTAAGGATAAAATTAATTAAATAGCTTTTTAGAAAAAAATTTCAATTTTTAAATTTTTTTTATTTATTTATAACACAAAATCTATATCTTTTGGAATAGATCCTTGAAAAGGCCCATACAGATCTTTATTATCCTTTAGAGTCTCTAAATTTTGTATGCACATCAGGGACAATTATAGCATCGATTTGTGTTATTCCAATTTTCAATTAGACGTCTGTGGTTCTAGTAATTCTACTAAACTAAATGCTCTATGACAGCACCCCCGCAACGGTCTTATGTGATACAAGCAAATTTCGTAGGGGTGATGTCATAAAACACTTAGTTTTAGTAGAACTACAGGAACCACGACGTCTGAATAAAAATTAGAATGGTGGAAATTGATGGTATCAGTGTTTCAGATATGCATAAAAAATTTAGAAAACCTCTTTACAATCCTTTTAAGTTTGGTTTTTTTTTCAAAACTCATTCAGTAGAATAAGTTTATACTTACTATTGCACGACCATCAAGAGCTCGTAAAGTCTTTAAATGATAAATAATAAAGAGTCTATAATTATCAACTTCGTTTGCTATAGGATTACCATATGTATCTAATATTACCAGGTACTGTAATGGCTGAAATATATCAAGTACAACAATATTCACATAAATAAAAACTAAATGATGTAACCTGTGTCCCTTTTCAGCACAATTAAATTGTGTAAAACTAATGACCCCCAATAGATATTTTCTAAATTCAGTCATACCATCCCCTACACCATTGTGTCACATTAGTGGTTCCATCAAAGATTTTTTTTTTAACAAAACTGATCTCTTGTCAGCCATTTGAAACTATGTTAGCAGCCAAAAGTTCATGGTTCACATGATACCATAACAAAAGGAAAGTTACAATGAAACCCAACACTAATTTACAGTCATCGTAAAGGTAATTTAATATCATGTTAGAAAAAAACATCATAGAAGTTGTGGAAAATCCCCATACACCAGGACCTAGTTATTCTGACTCTACTCCAGCCAATAACTGTCAAGATATCTATCAAAGGCGTGAATAGAGGCAGATGTTTTTCAGACTACCTGCTTCCACTCTTCTTTAGGAGAGAAAAAACCTTGTAATTTTTACCTTTAAATAGAAGAGTTCCCTGATATTTTCAATACGATTGTTACCAATATACAGTTCTATAAGATTGTGTAGTCTTTGTAAACCAACCAATGAGGTGATACGATTACATTCTAAAGATAAATAGGTTAACTGTGTTAATCCATTAAAAACTCCTGTATCTAAATTCACAATATGATTATTTCCTAGATGTAGCTTTGTCAAATTAACTAATTTTGTTAATCCATCTAGTTTGGCTAAACAGTTGTTCTCCAATGATAGTTCCTCTATCTTCGGACAGTTCTCTAATCCCTGAAAATTAAAAAAGATGAATATTTATGGAAGCGTTCTATTTATAAACCAAAAATAATTTGTTTTTGTTTTTTGCTGTGGGCTTTTTTTAACTCATTTTACAATCTGACAAGATCAACCTAAATGATATACAACATTTAAGTAATACTGTTGAAACCTATACCACAGAATTCTTTTGCAGTGGACCAGGTTTTTATGGAACAAATGTTGAATATTTTATGACTGAACTCAACCTTAATGCTTTATCTATTCAAATGAAATGAAATGAATGGAGTTTTATGTCCTACTATTCTGCACCATGTGGGCTAATGAAGACAGGCAACGCCATGCAGGGTGCAATGAGGGAAATTTTTTCAGGACAGCAACATTAGCCTGATCTTTTTTTCGATTTCCAGCTGTTGAGGGATCTTTAACATACACAGCATGTGTTTATTGTCCCATCTGAACGACTAGATGCTTTTTCCATGTCAACCCCTCTTTGATGTATCACTGACAGGAGCAAACCAGGTTGAAAAAGGTATTATCTCAACTTATGCCAGGATTGAACCATGGATCTTCAGGTTAGCGAGCAAGCATCTAACTCACTGAGCAACCATGGCTCCCTTAATCTATTCAAAAGAATCCAAATTGTCTTCAATAATTGAATTATAATCAAAATTATTTGGAGAGAAAAAATTTGGCAGATTTATATTTTGATCCTGTGTATACATATGTATAAGATCAATATTGTCCAATGAATTAATAGTTCACAAGGACCTAAATTTAACAGGCTTCATTTTGAGTACAGAGCAAATGTTTTTTACTTACTTCAACTTTAGTTAAATCATTATTATTGAATGATACCCATCTGAGATTTTCAACTTTCTCTAAATTTGATAACTTAGTTATATGTTGCCCTTCTAATACTATAGTTGTTAACTGCAAGAAAATAGAGTTTAAATATTTCAATTCTTTTGTAGACTTGTCATTGTGAAAATGACAAAAAATGTGCGAACCAGTCTAAATTGAAGTCTGTTAAAAAATATGTATAAGACAAAAAATAAGAAAAAGATAACTTGCCAGGCAAGGTAACATACGCCCACTGGTGACTAAAATACGAATTTTCTCATATTGACATGTTTTAACAAAGTCAAGGGCAATAACCTTTCATCGAAAATGCACCAAGTTAGAGCTTGTCCAAGATCTTATCAATTCCAATGTTCACACCAAGTTTCATCAGAATCGGTTGAAAACTGTTGCTTCAATCTTGCTCACGAACAATATTGATGTGGGCTTATAAAAATTCAAGATTTACCAGTGCATGCTTTCCAGAATTGTGCCATCAAAAACCAACATGGAACATGAGCAAGACACATTTATCCTGCTTTATTATAATCCATCTTAAAGTAGCCATCATACATATGATGTCAGTTATATTCAGAATATGACATAGAAAGTTTTTATGCAAGATATTGTACAAATTTGAATCATATAGGAGAGATCGGCCATGATGTCATAGAGGTGTTTTGTGTATCACATGATGCAGAACTTTAACAGTTGAAAGAGTGGTTTGTCCTACTCAAGTCATGCATGTGTTCTATTTTTAGCATATCACTGCTAAGCTGATTTCTCCCATACAATTTTTAAATTTCAAGCAATCTCTACAATTGTCATCAGTTCTCATTAAAAATTTTTCATGTTTTAGTTATCTAGATAATCCAAAAATACAAAATGGATTTTAATCTATTTATCAATGCACTGTGATTTTCTGCATATATCGGGAACGCTGATAGCATCAATTAGCACCATTTCAATTTTTAATCAGACATCTGTGGTTCCTACAATTTCAATAAAACTATGTGATGATAAATTGTAATGGTGCAAATTGATACTATCAGTGTCCCAGATACACATACAAAATATAGAAAACCTCTTTACAATCTTTTTAAGTTGTCGAAAAGATTGTACAAACCTTAGACAGCCATGTTGAATCATGATCAGATGATTTATCTGGTTTTAAACGACTTAATGTAAAAATTAATTGTGGTCCGTTACACAATTTTAAAGATCGTGGTATATGTTGATCAGTACGAGAATGTGATGATAATGCTAATTGTGATATTCTAGAGCCGGCTGCAACACGTAGAGCAGATGTAGCCTCATCTTCACCAACCATTTTACCATTTAATTGGGTCAGTGATTTTAATCTTCCAATCACTCGTAATTTTAAATTAACTGGCTGAAAAAAAAAAAATCAATTTGAATATTTCAAAAAGTGAGTATGAAAAAACTAAACACTAAATATTTATTATGATTTTAAAATCTTTTAGCAAAAGGACAGTTTTATACAATTTTTTTACAACATGAGTTCTTCATCATCTCCAATTTTTACAGAATTTTGATGGGCAGCTTGCATCGGAAAAAACTACCAATCTTATCAGCAAGGCAAGAGTTTGCCAATTTGCAAATAGCCACATAATAGGCGTAAATGACTTTCATTCTTGACAAACTAATGTAGAAATAATACATGTAATTCTACTTGCTGGATGATGAATCTTAAAAAAAACAAATTTAACAGCATAAGATACTTGTCAATAAGTGAATTTGTAACAAATTTTGATCTTGACCTATCTATATCTATACTTTCACAATATTTGTCATTTTCAACCAAATTTTACACACAAAACTAGACGTCATCCAAAGGCAAAAGATTGATTTTTTTTCATATTTCTCACATTATATCACGATACATATTGTATCATATCTTATGTTTCAAGATACAGATTGTATCATATCCCTTGTATCAAGATACATATTGTATCATATCCCTTATATCAAGTTACATTTGGTGTCATATCCCTTGTATCAAGATACATACTGTATCAGATCATATTCCTTGTATCTAGATACATATTGTATCATATTCCTTGTATCAAGATACATTTAGTTTCATATCCCTTGTATCAAGATACATACTGTATCATATTCCTTGTACCAAGATACATATTGTATCATATCTCTTGTATCAAGATGCATATTGTATCATTTCTCTTGTATCAAGATACATATTGTATCATATCCTTTGTATCAAGATACATTTAGTATCATATCCCGTGTTTCATGATATGTATTGTATCATATCCCATGTATCAAGATACATATTGAATTGTATTGTAGCATGAATTGCAACAGATAGTATGGGTAACCACACATAAGGAAAAAAAATCTAAAGAATGTATAGAGTATATTACCTTAGACCAAGGGTTATTAACAATGTTTAATGTTTTTAAATGAGGTAAATGCTTTCTCATCATAGATAATTCTTCTCTAGTATTCTGTAATCTATTCCAACTTATATCTAAATGATGTAGTTGTGACATGCCCTGAAATGATCATTCTCATCAACAAATAATAAAAGTATATATATCGCTAAGTGTGATTTTTCCCTGAGCAGTTATTTATTCCTGATCAATTTGATTTATTTTTGATCAGTTTGATTTATTTTTGATCAGTTTGATTTATTTTTGACTAGTTTGATTCATTCTTGAACAGTTTGAATTTATTCCTGATCAGTTTGATTTATTCCTGATCATTCTGATTTTTTCCTGATCCGTATATGATTTATTACTGATCAGTATGATATATTACTGGTCAGTATTATTTATTACTGATCAGTATGATTTATTACTGATCAGTATGATTTATTACTGATCAGTATAATCTATTCCTGATCTGTATAATGTATTACAGATCAGTATGATTTATTCATGTATGATTTATTACTAATCAGTATGATTTTTTACTAATCAGTATGATTTTTTACTAATCAGTATGATTTTTTACTAATCCTGCACCTACCTTCATACCATCTAGTGATACTATCTTGTTAAAACTGGCGTCAATCAATTCTATACCCTACAAATATACATCCAATATAGGCATTAAATCAAATTCTTTGAAGAATCTTTTAATCTGTATCTGACAAAGTTACATGGCCATTACAAGATCCAAATGGAATTGGAATGGATAATTCAAAATAAGGAGATTTAAACATGGCATAGTTGGTATAAGGTCAATGGGCTTCATGTTACAATCCTGGTAAATCATTTTGTTGGTGAAGTCCACAACTAAGATTTAATGCTCAAATGAATTGTAAATGACATAGGACAATTAAGAGATGATGACATGTTATGTATTAATGGCTATGGTCAGAGCAGTGACAGATAAAACTTTTGGAAAAGTATATTGCTTACCATATGAGCCAAATCATCTAACTTGGTTAACTCATTAAAACTAACAATCAATCTTTTTAAAGACTTCAACGATTGTATATATTTTAATTTGGTTAAACCGTTTCCATGGAGATTTAATGTTGTTATAGAAGTAAGACTAGAAGCTCGTCCAATCTTTAATAAAATATCTTCACTTAGAGTGACCAGCCTGAAGTATTACATCATATACATGTATAAATGGAAGGTATAAGTTGAGGTTTCAAGAAGCAAAAAAAGAAATGTATATGGTCCGTATATATGCTGACTGCAATCTCGCATCAGTGACTTATTCTGATGACCTTTATTACAAAGTTAAAAACTGTAATTTTTTGTAAAAAAAAAAAATTCAGCAACAGAAAACCGATTTTATTTTTCATGTCTTTAACTACTTTTCTCTACAAAATAGACAAAATTTGGTCCTGCAATAAATCAAGAGCGCTTTGTGAGGTCATCCAAGATTCAAATTCAATAATGAGCTTCAAATATATTTAATATTCTGACTTCAGTCATGACAGAATGTTCATATATCATATTTTTTCAAAATATAGTTCATTTAAGTCATCATTGTGTCTGGTAGTTTAATTGATAAGAACTCATAACATGTTGCAGATAGATGTTTCAGATATAAAATCCTCATCAGGACAACAAGATTTGAGTTAAATTTCTCAAGAGATTTGTGAGTACAAAAAAAAGGGAACAATAACATTATGTACCAATAACATAAAAAAACAAAATACTGATATATATTCTAGAACTTACCTTGGTCTTGCTCTTATTTCAGGTTCCATATTCAAAACATCACTATCAGGAAACAGTAACTGAGGATCATCAGGTGTGGCAACAGTACTTGGTATTTTCCAATCTTTATTTTCACATAAATAACCATTAATAGAAGAAAATGGAGATTTACTTGGTAACTAGAAATGAAATGCATAGAATGTAATCAAATGAAAATAAAATTGAACACCTTTTCAATAACTCACACTAAATATTTTTTGATTTTTCTGATTTTCGATAGGGTTCATCCTTGGGTAATAACAAACACAGTAAGTTCTGTCAAAATCCATCTAGATTTGTGCCTTCAAGAGTGTTAACGAGCTAAAAATTGAATGCATTTTCAAGAACAAAGGCAATAAGTCATACTTAATATTTTCGATTCTGGGTGATAACAAAAACTCACACCAAGTTTCATCAAAATCCATCAAGAATTTTGTTTTACGAGCAATGGACGTACGGACCCACGGACATGGGTGATGCCAATATACGCCTTCCAATTACATGTGGGTGTAAAATAAAAGGCTTTTTATTCTGATCAATTACCCAGTGGAAGGAACATTATAACTGAACATAAAATCTAGAATTCCTGATTATTGCATTTTTGAGAAAATATAAAACTTACCCTCTTAATATATTCATATTCTATGATATATTCTGGTAATACAAAATCTTGATCAAAAACATACCATTCGCATTGTCTTACACTACATTCACAGGTAGCTGTTAAATCTATATCTGTTGATTTATCTATAAATAATAAACATCAGATCCAGATTTCCAATTATCTTGAAGGTGCTGACATGGCAGATTTACATATTATTCAGATAATTACAGAATATTTCAAAAACTATATCTGTAGATTTATCTACAAATAAACATCAGATCCAGATTTCCTAATTATCTTGAAGGTTCTGACATGGCAGATTTACATATTATTCAGATAATTACAGTATATTTCAAAGTGCAAAAGATCTTATAGTATCAGATAACTTTTAAAGATTTTGTTGTGTTTTGGGGGATTTTCAAAGCATCTATGACATCTATATCTGTATCATTCCCAATTCTTCTAATAAATCTTTGATATCTGATATTACTAAAATCCACAAAGAGAGTTTGGATCTCAATAGCAATTTGATAGACTTCAAAAAATTTCTGTATTACTGTATTACTATAATAATATTTAAAACAACAAAACTTACTACCAACAGATAGACAAGTTTTTCTTGGTCTAATAACAGAATCTATCTCAGGATAAACTGACTGACTGACCCTACAAAAATGTTTCAAAGAATGAGAAATACAAGTATAACATTTTCTGCGGCAATAACATCAATAACATGGAGCATTATCTAAATAAGTGGTTCCCTTGCAATTTTCAGTATGACCTTGATCGTGATGGGAGGTCATTGGCATCAGAATCAGCAGAATTGTTATCAGCTATCTTTTGTTTTCGTATGATTTTTTGTTGGATTATTAATAATCAAGCGATTATCTAGTTGGTGGTAGCCTAAGTGTCGTAATTCGTAATGCACAGTATATCTGAGTACTCAGAGTTTTTAAACTGACGTAAGGAGGAAATCAATCTCTATCTAATCATAAGCAAATTCAAAGATGTCCAAGATCTTATAGATACAAACCTACACACCAATTTAAAAAAAATCAGATAAAAACTAGGGCCGTTATTGTCTTTACAAGCCACATTTAACATAATTTCAATATATCAAGGGTTAGAAAATCTGATCCTTTGTGGAATCCTTCTCAGATGCAAACTTGTCCAAGATTCAGTGAATATAAATGAACCTACCTACACACCAAAATTTTATAGGATAGCTTGCCAGGCAAGGTAATATACACCCACTGGCAGATTTGATTTTAAATACAATATTTGGCAGTACAGTAACAATCACCAGTAAAAAATATTCAACCTTCAGTCATACACTTCTTTTGAACCTTTTTTTTAAATAAATATTATTTAATCATAATATTACCAAGTTTTGTCAAAATCTGTCAAGAACAAGGGCAATAACTCATACTAAACTCATTTGGGGGTGTAAAAGTTTTCCTGTATCCCTGAATGTGTTAAATTGAATGATGATTTGAGCTAAGTATAAAAGTAACTTACTCTCTATCTTCCATCATTGTAGCATTCTTTCCTAGATATGCTTTACAGATTACAACCTGACCTACAAATACAAAATACAGCAATGACATTAAAATTGAACAAATACAAAATACAGCAATGACCATAACATTTAACATTCATTCACAAATTTGGAATATTCAAATACATTTTCACTTATTTTCAGTAGGCTAATATAAACTACAGTGGAGCCTCATTTATCTGGTTGCTGGTAATCCAGAAACCCCGATATCCGCAAGCTTTTTACTGGGATACTTGATATGGACAAGCATCATGATATAATACTGACTATTCAGATAAAATACTTACAATATTGATATAGACAAGCTTCAGGATAGAATACTGATTATTCAGGTAAAATACTTACCATATTGATATAATCAAGCATCAGGATATGATACTAACTATTCAGATAAAATACTTACCATATTGATATAGACAAGCATCAGGATAGAATACTGATTATTCAGGTAAAATACTTACCATATTGATATAATCAAGCATCAGGATATGATACTAACTATTCAGATAAAATACTTACCATATTGATATAGACAAGCATCAGGATAAGATACTAACTATTCAGATAAAATACTTACCATATTGATATGGACAAGCATCAGGATATAATACTGACTATTCAGATAAAATACTTACCATATTGATATAATCAAGCATCAGGATATGATACTAACTATTCAGATAAAATACTTACCATATTGATATAATCAAGCATCAGGATATGATACTAACTATTCAGATAAAATACTTACCATATTGATGTAATCAAGCATCAGGATATGATACTGACTATTCAGATAAAATACTTACCATATTGTTATAGACAAAAATCATGATATGATACTAACTATTCAGATAAAATACTTACAATATTGATATAGACAAGCATCAGGATAGAATACTGACTATTCAGATAAAATACTTACCATATTGATATGGACAAGTATCATGATATAATACTGACTATTCAGATAAAATACTTACCATATTGATATGGACAAGCATCAAGATATTTTCTCTTTTTATTTTCATCATCATAATACTTCATTTTCCTTTTGTCAGCTAAACTTAAACTATTACTTAATGGTACAGCTGCATGTCTTCCTAACTTCTAAAATGGCACAAAAATATATTAGAATTAGAACATTCCAATTTCTTAACCAAATCACTGTGTGTTGCAGTTTAGCTGGCTTCAAGCTGCCTTTTCAAAATTCTCCAATAAAGTACCAGTTATGAAATCTTTGGTATCCAGTTCAGACTGATTGATCAGGTGGAACAATACATTCAAATCTTAATACCCAAATTTTTCTTTGATAAAGACATCCATTAGAAAACTAATAAATCAACAGACCACAGAATAACATTTATCAGTCACCAGATAAATTTTGTAGTAATTTTCTGGATCAAAATTACCATCTTTAAATTCCAGAAACTAACCTAATATGTGTCACTATCATAGAAACCTTCCTGTAAGATTC